CTGGAGGAGAATCAAATAGTTCTTTTCATATCTCTGAAGGGCTTTCATGTAGAAGACAGAATAGACTTAGTATCTGTTTCCTTAGATAGCGGGATTAAAACCAATTGATGGACATTAACAAGGAAGCAGAATTTGGCTAAACATCAGGAGAAAGTTCCTCATGGCGAGAGGAGTTTGACAGCAGAACAGACAGCTCTCAGATGTAGTGGGCTCTTCGCTGGAAGTATTTAAGCAGAGGCCTGGCAGCCATATGCTAGGGAAGGTAGCAGTTGCATGCTGCATTACCAGTTCTGCACTAAGCAGGAGGTTGGGTTAAATGATATGCAAAGATCCTTCCAACACAGATGAGAGCTGGTTGCAGTCTTGGCCTGGGACTTGGGCCATGAAGCTGACTGGGTGATTTTGGGCCAGTCACTGACTCACAACCCAAGCTACCTCACAGTGTTGTGAGGATAAAATGGAGAGGAGGACCATATAAGCCACCTTGGTTCTCTTCTAAGAGGAAAAATAGTGGGATATAAATATAATTAATAACAAGGAAATAATAATGTGGGTGGAAGGCAATGGGAGGAAAGGAATTTTAAGATAGCAAAGGTTACGGGAAAGAAAAATTGGCAGCCTGTGCAGTAGTGGCAAGAAAAGAAGCACTAGAGCTAATCGTCAAGTTGAGGAGCAGCTGCTGGGGTTAATGGAATCGTCTTGCTTGGAAGGATTCAAGAGAAGGACAGTTCAGCTTTTATTGACGGTATTTTCTTGTGTTTGAGAAGAGGTTGGCACAGGCAGCCCATTGGATGCTTTTTAGTTTTCAGCCTCTATGTTTAGCCTAAGCAGGCCGCCAAGAGCTTTATCACCATTGTTGGGAGCAAGTAGCCCCACCTTGCATTCTTAGGAAAACTAGAGAGGTTGGCAGTGCCAAACAGCCGGGGCTCAGTCATTTGTGATTGGTGCTGGTGCTGGCCCCTCCCGATGGTGGCTTAAAGGTGTCCTGGTTGTTGACCATGTAACCTGGATCCATGTTATTCAGTCTGAACTGTTAAGTTAGTTTTCTCAGCCTCTTAGCTGCTTTTTAAAAGATTGACAATATTTTGGGCATTTTACTTTTTGTTTGATTTGCTTTAGTCATATTGTGCCCTACCCTGGTATCTGCAAGAATGAAGACTGTTTTAAAAATGTTTAAACTATTAATAGTTGTGGGCCCTCCCCTCCCTAGTAATTGAACTGAGGCAAGAGCTCCACTTCATCTGAATGTGATTATTCTGGCTTTATTCCTCTGAAACTTGGAGGGTGCATACACTTCAAGCTATCATGAGGTCAGTGCACTTGAGAATGTACCCTTAAGTGGGAAGGTTTACATATGGGTGACTTTTGGTGATCTGTTTTCCAAAGGTACTCTTTTGGGGCAGAAGAAAGAATGCAGAGAAACCTTGTTAGTCTCAAAGCAAAAGCTGTGTTCTTGCTGAAGTTCAGATTCAGATTAGAAATGAAGGGCAAATGCTTGAACCTTGTGGTTGCAGTGATTTATTTATCAACTTCTTGAGCTAAGTAGAGTTCTGTCTTACGCTCTTTAAATTGTGATTGAGTATATTCCTAGGAGAGAATTGCATAGCTCATTCTGGAGCTATGGGCTTGATGAAAGAATCTAGTGGAATTTCATGTATCCTGCAGCAGCAGATAACAAGCTTCTGTTCTTAAAATCTCTGCATTTTAATAGGATTCTGCAGTTTCCAAGGGTACAATTGGTCAAGGAGTTCATCTATTGTCAGAGCGTTTCAGGATTTATAATGCTTTGAGTCTTGTAGAGGCTTTAAAAGATGTTGGTTCTAAAGATCATTGACTGCACCCAAGTGCTGGTACAAAGACCCTTATAAGTTCAAGTGTGAGATCAATTTCAGAAAGCCGTCTTGTGATGTTGAGTTGTGGACTCTTCTCTCCCTTTACCGAGTTCAGCTGTGGACTTTCTTCCTTCTTGCCATATATATTCACCATATATCCCTTCTCCCCTAGGAGGAACCTCTGCTGAAATGGTTCTGGCTGTAGTCTCCTCCCCCTGCCCCAGGTGGCAAATTTAGGATGCCTCACTACAATCAGAAGAGCAGGATTGGCATAGACACAACCTAAAATAAACTCACCATACCTGAGCACTCTTCTGGGGCTGTATATCTTTCTCTTTAAGTGTCTTATTGACATGGCTGGGTGATACTTCTACCTTCCTTGCTTGTTTGGGTATTCCTGCTGCATACTGGGTGATAGTGTGCAGGGAGGTGATCAGGGTGTGTGTGTGTGTGTTCAGTAGCAAATCCTCACTGAATTCCCATCATATTTTCCATCCAAAATATCTAGATTGTATCTGTATATGTTAGTTATAAGGGCATGGAGAGAAAGCACCCATGTGACATGGTGTTGACTTTACCTAACTCTGTTTTCAATATACTTTATGTTTAAGGCATGTTCACCCCACACTTCCATCAACAAGGAGCTCAGGGCATGACATGTTGTTTTTCCATTTCAGTGTTGCTAACAACTCTGTGCTGAGTGAGTAACCCAAGGTTACCCAGGGAGCAACATAGCTAAGTGAGGATTTGAACCTGGGTCTAGCTGATACTGGCTCAACACACTCTAACCTTTATACTACACTGGCACACTGCAATGCTGGTAGGCTCAGATGTAGGCAACTCAGATTTAAATTCCTTTAAATCAAACATGAGGGGCAAGTTACCATGTGCCACCCTAAACTGCCTCACGGCTTCTGTGGTTGAAGTCCAATCTGAGCTCTACAGAGCAAAAGTGGGATACAAATATAAAGAAGAAAAATATGTACCATCACAAGTTTACTTTAAATCTGCTTCCCAGGCCTCAGTACTTGTTTTTGCTTTACATAAAGCCTGCCAACCTCAAAATAACTCCCCCTCTCTCTGTGCTTCGTTTTTTTTTTTTTATTGGGTACTCTGCTGCCACTGTTCCCCTTCCTTCTGCAATTGTTGTTGCTTTCCTCAAGCCATTGGGAAGGAGAAAGATAGGAGGGTTGGACTAAAGGTGGCATCATGTCGACTTCTTTCCTCAAAGCAGCATTTGGTATCCCAGTCTCTGTGTGGGGACTTGGGATCACAAAATGAGAGGAAATGCGCCCTTCTGTCTGCAGAACAAAACCACCGACTAAACAACGGTGCTCCTGCGTGTGTGTTCTGTGCGGAAGCTTTCCTTTCCACAGATTGTTCCCTACTCTGCCTTTCTGTATGGTGGGAGCAGTTTAGTCTTTGAATCTGTCAAGTGAGTTGGCTTCCCAGACATCCTTTGTATAGTAACAGCATGTGTTGGAAAACTGGCAGCTTCTAAAACACAGTCACTCTCTTTCTCTTTGACTCTTCCTTTCCCTCCCCTTGTTCCCCCACCCCCTTCTCTCCAGCTCTGGTGACATTACATAGATAGATGGGCTTGCAAGGAAAACAGCAGAGAGGGTTGAGTGTCTGCCAAAACTCTGCAGTTGGAAATGGCGCCCCCCCCCGCCTTGTTTTCCCAGGTCTTCAGTTGTGCACGTCTAATGTTTTCACTTTCCTTAGATTTCTTAGCTGCGCACATGCACCCGCACTGAGATCTTCTTCCCATGCTATAATGCATGATTGAATAGCTTATTCTCCCCAGGTTTCCACACATATTCAGTGTAATTACACATATCCTTATCACATTCAGTGTGCTTTGACATTGACTGGACTTGTAAAACTGTTAGCTTATTGTTCAGTGACTTTCTTAGGGATGAGAGTTAGAGGAAAACTTCAGACTGAAAAATGTTTTCCTTACCCTGTGCTTTCTGTGATCTTTCTTTTCCTGTTCCTCCATTGGTGCTGGCTTGTTCACTTTTTTGTTTGCCAATAGTGCACCAGAAAGGGTGGCATGGGCAGTTGAGATGCAAGGCACAGACTCTGCCTTGACCTTTCCCAGTGGGTTTTTTTCCACTGGTCCAGGAGGCAGAAGGGTTGTTCACAGCTGCCTGGCTTCTGCTTGGCTGGGTAGCTCAGACCCTAGTAGTCCTTTGGTGCTTTGAGTCAATGGGGACCACCTTACATTTTGAATAAGCTTTTTACTTTTGTAAAAAGTAATTTATAAAGTACTTAGGGAACTTATTGTGACCCTTCTCCCATCCCTTTTGAATTTTCCTCTTGGTTTTTTTGCCAGGTGGGCAGTCTTTGGTCTTAATTATGCATGAGGAGGTTTCATCATGCCAGTTAGAAAGGATGGAGAAATGCAGTGGATTAGCTAAATGGTGGTTAACCAGACAAGCCCCCAAACCCAGAAGACAACAAAACTGCACTCTTCTTTGATCAGCCTGCCTGTTCACATCCATGTTTGTAATTTGTGATGGGGTTGGGTTACCTTGGGATGCCGTGGGTTACATCACTGAACTGTTGGGCACTGTGAGAAGAAAGGGGAAATGCTACATTCTTTGCAGTGGAGTAAGTTATGAGAGCTTTCCTTTGTTGCAGTAAGCAACTCAGTGCCTTTATTGCATACAAACGTAAATAAATGTGGGTGCATGTGGAAAGCATGAAGTGGTGCTTTATTGCCACAGCATCCCTGTTGCAGTGAGCTGGATTGTGAGAGTAATTTTCCTAAAGCCCCACCCTTTGGGATTGGGCCGGGCAGAGACTGGCTCTCCTGCCTCCCTTGTGCTAGTTGGCACTTGTTTGTAATCGCTCCAGACAAACCACTTAAAATTTGACTGTAAGGCTAAGTCAAGGCCCTTTCTTGCTCGTGACTTGAATCATGCCCTGGTCAGTGAAAGTCCCAGGAGCATGACTGGTCATGCTACACTTTGTGCCGAGCCCTTTCCCCCCACATGGAACCCAAGTCTTTCAGCAAAACCACCCGGGGCTGCTTCCCCTTCTTTATGAGCCTCTCTGAATTTCAGAGGTGGAGATGGGATCTAGAGTTACAATGTCTTGGTAGAGCAGTATATTTTGCAAAATATGCTAATTAATGCAAAACTGTGTTCTCTACCCCTGCAGCCAGTTGCTGAACCAATCCCAATCTGCAGTTTCTGCCTTGGTACAAAAGAACAAAACCGAGAAAAGAAACCTGAGGAGCTCATCTCCTGTGCTGACTGCGGCAATAGTGGTAGGTGACTGCCTGTGCCTCCGGCACATGTCTGGCTTGTCTATTTGGATCCACTCTGTGACTGGCTTTTGTACTGAGACTGTGGACGCATAATCACTTCTGAAGATCCGTGAGAATGACCCCCCCCCCAGTGCTATCCTAGCATCGGTCCTGATCCTGGATTGGTAGTTAGATGAATGTACATAAGCTGCAGGGAGGGACAGGAGAAAGTGGCTCTCATGCCCTCATTCTCTTTCCTCATTCCAGACTCACTTCTTGTCTTCACTGCAGCATCGTTCTTCTTTTCCATGCAGGCCAATGGAGTGGTGAAATTGACTAGGCTCAATAGCAAGTGGCTTCTGGTTCTGTTGATTTCATTCTTCTGTGAATTGTTTTTGAAAGTTCTGGCATAGCCATTCACTTCTGTTCTTTATCTTCTTTAACAGGGTTACACCTCCCCAGCAGCAAAACCTTCCAAGCTTAATAATTCAAAAGAAAAAAACCCCACTCTATAAACCCAGTTTTAAAACTACTCCAGGGATAGGTGTGTTGATATGAAGGGTAGTATCCATGGTAATTGCACCAGTGTCTACACAAGGATTTGCTCTGCTGACCATGCTTTTGGGTGTAGTTTGAAGTTTTCCCGGCTGTGGAACATAAACAAAGCTAATTGGGCCAGAGTTCATATTGGGACTGTGAGAATAGTAAGGTGTTTGCTATCGGAAAGCCTTAAGACGCACCTGTGCTTGTAGAATGTTCCTACTTTAGAATTTTGGCTGTCCGGGGTGAAAGCAAATTGAAAGGAGGTTTATCACTTCCTGGGAAACTGCCACATCAGTAACTTAGCTTGGGTATTTGGAATGGCCCTGTTCCTGTGTTAATATCATTTGTTGTCGTGCCGACAACAGTACAGCATCAACTGTAGTTCACAGGGAATTGGATTTTTGAAGGGTGCCCCAAAGCAGCATGTTGGACATTATTGTAGTACATCACAACAGCTGGTAATATTTCATCTCTCATTTATGACTAGAACTATCCCTGAATATATCCTTGTCATTTCAGGGCATGAGCCCCGCTGGAGGAGTATAGTGTCATGCTCTGTAATTTCTAGTAGAAATCAAGCCTGAATGTTCTGGCAGAAGCTGCTCTGAACAAGACTATTCAGACAGTTCTGGCACTTGGAATAATTGTTCTTGTTCTAATCATAAATAGTGGGAGCAGAAAGGACCTGTGGGACCTTGAAGGTTAATCCGTGTACCTGTCAAACGCTTCTGACAAAATGGGTTTCCGGGACATGAAAGGTTAGACCTCCATGAATTGGGTGGTCCTCAAGTTGCCATAGCTAAGTGTAGCAAGCATTGAGCTTGGTCACAGTAGATGGCAGGGCATCCTTACCACACAGCTTTCCCTTTGCAAGAGAGTGATCCTTTCTCCAGCAGTGTGCATTGCAGGCAAGTGAAATGAAAACAGGATATAGATCTCCATCTGATGGTGTGAGGATGCAGCTTAAAACAAGTGAGGGATAAAACCAGGAATCTTAAAGAATCCATCTGGATGCAGCCTGAGTTATTGACCTTAGTTTCCTCTTTGTGAAAGCTGGTCTTTACATGGCCAGTTTGTGTATCTGTTGTGACTTAAGCACCTGCTTGAGTCTCCTTGGCTTTAGACTGTTTACACAGTTCCTTCAGGGTTGAAATGAAGCACCTGTGCAAGAAGTTGCTTCCTTCCAAAAACATATCATGTGAGTTGATCTCAGAGTGCCAAGTACATGTTGAACTGCTCTGACAGGACCTTTTAAAGATGTCAGATATTAACTCCACTGGAACTTGGACCTTACTCTTTGTAAGTACTGGCTTCTCCCACTTGGCATCACAGAAATTGTTCTCTCCCCCTTGCACAGGTCATCCATCCTGCCTGAAGTTCTCCCCAGAGTTAACAGTTCGGGTGAAAGCCTTACGATGGCAGTGCATCGAGTGCAAAACATGCAGTTCCTGTCGAGATCAGGGCAAAAATGCTGTGAGTACCAGAGTTTAAGCAGTTACTTTTCTAAACAGTTGAGTCAGATGGAGATGAATCTAGGAATGACTTGGGATGCAGGGAGTTCATCTGAATGGGGCTCACCCTGATCTGACGAGATCTGGTGTTCCTTGGTAACATCCGGGTTAAACCACTGTTTTGAGAGTGCTGTGAAACTTGCTGTTCCTCCGCTGCTGAAGGTGAGCTGCTGAGCGCAACTGGGCCTTTGCGCATACATCATGTAGGCTTTGGAACCCTGTCCCCCAAGATGGCCAGCTGGTGCCTTTCTCCTAGCTTTTCACCAGGGTGTTAACAGTTTAATTTATTGAACTGCAGCAAAAAGAAATGTGTAGGATTAATCAAAGGTTTTGGTTTCTCTCAAAGATGTTCTAACATTCATCTTTCTCTGTATTATATTAGCCTGCTTGCAGTTATTCCCTCTGTAGCCTATGCTACTCCTACTTACTTCCCATTAGACTTGATTTGTAGTGAGATGTTTTTTGAGAATAATCTGAGGCAAATGTTGTTGACTTGTTTGAGTTTGTAAACAGAAGGCATTAACTGAAAATATCTGCACTTCGCAGGATAATATGCTCTTTTGCGATTCATGCGATCGGGGCTTTCACATGGAATGTTGTGACCCCCCTCTGACTAGGATGCCAAAAGGTAAGGAGGAGCTGAAACTTGATGTGGAAGAAAAATATGTATAATGAGCATTCCATTATGGCTTCCAGATTAGAAGGAAGGCTGTACCAGACAGAATGGGAGGGTGGTACAGCCCTGGTGAAGAACTGAATTGCTTCACAGCGTGCGTACTCACATCAGCTCAGTTGAAGGTGCAGCTTTGTGATGTAGTGGCTAAGCGTGTGAGCTGAGAAGACCCTCAGATTGAATGCTGCTTTGTTATTTATCGGTATTCTGATGCTTTGCAGGCATGTGGATATGTCAGATATGTCGGCCATGTAAAAAAGGAAGAAAACTTCTATATAAGAAGGCAGCACAGATTAAGCGGCGTTACGCTAACCCAATTGGACGTCCCAAAAACCGATTAAAGAACCAAAACACGACGTAAGTTACTCTGAAGCTTATTGGTGGTGGTAACGGGGACTTCATGCAGCTCTGTATTATGGATGTTTCCTCTCCTGGCAAATTTGTTGGGAAAAGTGCCTCAGCGATATTTTTGGAAACAATTTTGCACAGTGCGTTTCAGTGGTCCCTGTTTGTCAGAAGCAAAAATAAGATCTTGTCACATTGATATATTAATTTAAAAAACCTCTGAATGTCAAAGCAAGTGGTGTCTGGTCAATGAAGAGTGGCATCCTGAAATTATGATGTCGTCAGGATGTGCTGGCAGCTGCACAATATCGATGCTGGCTTGGCCTGCAGAGGCAGGGACTTTCACAGACCTGGAGTTGCTACATTAAAGGCGTTTCACCTGGTGAGCTCTAATCAGGCCACACACCACCAGGAGCCTGCTGAGTGCTGACCCCTGTGACTGAACATGCGGCCAGAGGGGGTGGGGCTCTCTGAGTGATCCTGCTCCCAGGTGGTTCAGGTCCTTATCCACCAGCACCAGAGCCTTAAATGTGGCCTGGTAGCAGTTCAGTAACCCATGCCAAGCCATTTCCTCAGCAAAGGAGTTGTGTGCTGAACACGGGCAGCTCCTGACAGAAGGCACGCTGCCGTCATTCCACACTCGCTCCAGCGTCTGCACCAGCCTGAAGGGCAGCTTCACAGAGAGCATGTTGAGGTATTCCTGTCCTGGGTTATGAGCACCTGCCTCACTGTGGCCGGGAAAGGTCAAAGCTGGTGAACCAGACAAAGCTGATGAAAGGCTCTCCAAGCTGCCATGGATCTGCGGGTACCCCAGACAACGAACCTCAGTGGGAGTGCACCCCTCCAGACTCTGCTGACTTCACGTTTGCCTAATGGCCTGCCTAGCCTTTCTGACCGTTCTTCTGACTGTTTCTCTTCTCCCTGCCCTCCCCACAATTGTTTGTTCAGATCAAAAGCTCCATTCAGCAAAGTTCAGACGGGACCCGGTCGAGGACGGAAGCGCAAGACCCCCCTGTCCAGCCAGTCAACGTGCTCCTTAGAAGGGGGGTATCTGGAGCAAGTCGATGGCCTGGAATTCTGCAGAGATGGCAGCACCACCTTGAAATTCAACAAGAAAACCAAAGGGCTTATTGACGGCCTCACCAAATTCTTCACCCCGTCCCCTGATGGGCGTAAAGCTCGAGGAGAAGTGGTGGACTATTCTCAGCAATATAGGATCAGGAGAAAGGATAATAGGAAACCAAGCACTTCAGACTGGCCCACAGGTAGCCAGCAGTACAGTGTATTAGCTCTGCTTTCTGGCTTTCAAGCACTTTCAGTCTGAGTACAGATTCTGAAGGGTTCCTGGCACTTCCTTTAAAAAATGTTCATCTGAAATAATCTAATAGCTTATCTTATGGAGCGGCAGCACAGTAACTGATCACTTTGGCTTACTCCTGCAATTACTTTAGTCACTGTACTCTGAAAATTAAAATTTAATTTAATTTAATAAAACATTTTTATCCTGTCTTTCACTAAATGTCTCAAGATGGCTTTCAAAACATAAAATCCACAACAGTAAAAGTACTATCAATAATACAACAGATAATAATAAAATATGATAAATACAATCAGTAATAATAAAATACCATCAAGTTAAACTGATAAAAATGAATTAATCACATTCATAAGGAAAATAAGAAAAAAAGCAACTGTTACCTTCTAAAATCGCTTTTTGTATAAAAATTATAAAGCAATATTTAAATATAAAGCAGTATTATAGCTTGTTGGAATCAGTGGGTCCTTAGGTGGAGGCCATTGTTGCAAATAGACCCCAATGGAATCTCGCTCCTGATGAAGGGGGCTGGGTGGGTGCAGTGGAAAAACCATGCCTCTCAGTCTGGGGCTTTTCTAGGCAGGAGACTAGCCCTCCTGTCACAGCCAAGCGGTATTGATTGATACGGGCAGCTTACAAGAGAAATCGCAAATGCCCTCTGGGGTGAAGGGATGTGTGTACATTTGTATGGTGTGTTTTATCTGTTAACAGATTTTAAAAGCTTTTCATGAGAGTCCTATGCAAAATGAGATAACTTAGCCTAAGCTGATGGCATACCAATGCATGCAAAACTTTTGCTGCAGTAACTCTGATTTCCACTGTTTAGCTAGTTACTTATTCACACAGGCCCACAACTGTCTTATGTGCCATGCAGGTTCTTGATAATTAATCAACAGATTCTAACTGTCATTCTGTCTTTATTTTCAGACAATCAGGATGGCTGGGATGGAAAGCAAGAAAATGAGGAATGGCTTCTCGGAGGCCCAGATGTCATGGCTGAGAAAGATATGGAGTTGTTCAGAGACATTCAGGAGCAAGCACTGCAGGTAAAGTTGAATAAGGTTGCATGCAGCAGTTTCACTCCTTAGAGTCCAGTACAGGGATGTGTGAGTCAACTGGCGCATAATGTTGAGTGGAAGTAGGTGGCCTGCGTGAGATTTTCTGGGTTGGTGGAGGAAGGAATGAGGAGAGATGCTGATGGGAGGAAGCGGGAGGGAGTGCAGATGAACAGTTTTGGAAAGGATGGCGTGTAGTTGAGGAGGCAGACGATCAGAGGCTGTCTGCACTGACGAAGCAAGCATGCTAAAGATAGACCAACTCGGCTGGTTTCAGAAGGGGTTCTCACTGTTTTTTCCCTGTTCCCAGTTTTTGGGGTGCTTTCTGCTGCAGTTCTCACTCTTGGTTCTGTGAGGAGTACTGAGGAAATAGGTGGGCACTTGCTTGCTTGGTGGAGTGAGTGGGTTTCCACTGATATCCTTAGTTATAAAAGGTTCCTGAATGGACTTCTATGCAACTACCTTGCCCAAAGATGTGAATACATAGATGATGACGCAGAGACCTGCAACAGATAAGCAACATGTCCCTTTTTGTATGTACACTGAATATGGTGGATTCTGACTTGAGATTGATGAGTGGAGTGGAGTTTGCTTGTTTATCGTGTTTCTGTTGAAAGGGCACCAGGTCAATGCACAAGCATGGCAGTATATTGAACGCTTTTCCACATCTGTCCATACACTGGACATAATCTCTTGTATTGGTGCAGGTATGATAAATCATATCATGAGGAGAGGAAGCTATGAGGAGAGGAAGGAAGGTTATAGACTGCATTTGTAGGAGGATCCTGTGATCTTTCTTCTACTCAATATATTTATATCCAACTTTTTTCCTTCAAAGAACTCAGGGCAGCTGTGTGGCTGGTCAACAGCTGGTTATGTTGCACATGAACATAAAGAGCAAAATCAGCAAAGCATAAACTTGAGTGAACAGGGCAAAGGGTTTTGCAGGTTTCTGTAGGAGATTTACTGGTCAGACAGCTGCAGGCTATAATACTTACCTCTGATCAATGGAGACGAATTTCAGATATTTTAAAGAAATTGAGTGGGTTCACACAACATGAGAAATCGTGGTGAAATCTTACCGTGGCGGGCCTGATGTGTCATCCGTACCCAATTCCAGAGTTTCTGCATGGTAGGATTAGTCTTCTGAAACCATGGGGAGAATCAAGAGCTTTCTCTAAGGTTTGCATGCTTCAGTGTGGCTTTCACAATTGTCCAGAATCAGCATCTCCATTTTACCATTGTTGGTATGGCAACATCATGGAGTCCCCTAGCCAGAGCAGCTGCAGAAGTGACCACTTCTAGCCTTGGATCTTTACTGCCCTCAGCTCCCTAGGAATGAATGTATTATTATTCATTTCATTCCAGGTGGTTGAGCAATGTGTCCCTCTCTCTATTTGCATTTGGCAAAAGGAAGATAATGCAAAAATGCACAGGGGGAAAAGGGAGGAATTGTGGTGAAATTGTTTAAAAAGAATCTCTGTGGGCGCTGGTGTGGCTGGGAGGTGTTGTTGACAGGCAGGTACTCCTTGAAGAGGGGAACCAGCCTCAGGACTGCAGCAAACCAATCAGAAGGGTGCTACTGCTGTTCATAGGCAAGGAAAGGGAAAGAGTGGGGATTTCACTTGCCGGAGCTGCCAGGAGGATGGAATGGGGACCGCAGAGACCCCACTGCCCAAGTAGCCAAGTGATCATCTGCCCAGTAAGTTTGGGCAAAAATCTGCGCACGTTGAAAACAACACAGGTGTGTTTGCCATGTCGTGTGAACCAAGCCATTGTTTAATGTCTGTAGTAAGGTAGAAAATATGGAGTATATTAAGGTGCTGCATACCTCTTGTAAGTGCTGAGAAACATTAGCTTTGTCATTTGGTGCTGATACTGCCTGTGACTTTGCAAGTTCTTGATCAAATTGGTTTGCTTTGGCAGGGATTGGGTTAAATTCAGCCGAGGTGGTGACGTAGTCCGTATCCAGGTAAAGCCAGAGGGCCACACCTGAGCGAATGGGAATGTGAATGCACCGAGCAAGGTGCAAGAAGCTGTCTTGAGTTGTTGGGGAGAGACTGAGTCCGTGAGAGGAGCAGTCTAGGACAGTGCAGTCAGAGTGGGGACTGACCACCCGTCTTGATGGGACTTTGGGCAGTTGGGATGTGCAAGCAATTGTCCTGGCACTGGGATTCCACATTTATCTCAGGCATTCATTTGGAGGAGAGTTTGGCCATCAGGAAGGCACGGACGCATGAGGCATTTCCACAGGTGCGGTCTGCCTTTTCCCTGTTTCAAGCATCACTCTGTAAGCCGGGGTGGTTCCACCAGCAGCAGGCTGCAGCCCCGCCTGTCTGGGCTTGGATTAAGGATTCTGTTCTGGGAATTTCAAATTGTTATTTTTCAGAGATTTTGTGTACTCTCCAATACTTTTATGATGTGTTACCTTGGTAAATTGGTTTCTGTCATTTGGCAATGTTTTTACACTGCATAATTCCTCTTCAATAGCAGACTGGGCATGAGGATTTTTATTACCATTCCAGTTGAGCAGCCAACTACCAATTTTTCAGGAATAAAGCTTGTTTGTTTGTTTGTTAAGACTGTTGTGTGCTTTTTCTGTCTTGATGGAGACAGCCTTAAATCTTGGGGAAAGGTAAATTGGCTGCTTCATCTTTGTGTCCTTCCCCTTAGGAAAATTTAACCAATCCCCCAGGCTTCTGTTTTATTTTTTTAGAAATAGCCCTGGAAACCAATCAGTGAACTTTGGAAAAATGTTGATGTTGGAATAGTTAAACTTGCTGTTGTGCATGGTACTGAACTATAACCAAGGGCTTTTGTTTTGCATGCATTTCTGTGAAGAGGCACAGCAGGTTGTATTTTGGTCTGAAGGCAGTTTGAGAAAAGGTTTGCACAGGTGGCTATTGGTGTTTTGAGGTGATTAAAATGAGAAGGTAGAAGAGAGAAGGCAAAATTAGTGCCTACAAATTCCCAGGGGAAAACGCCTCTGTCTTGATGCTAGCATAAGAACACAAAACCTGCCTTCCTTTGTCATAGCAATAGCTCTGCTCATCTGGTGCAGCACCCCTTTTCTAATACTGGCTCTTTAGAAAACTCTAGCAAGCTCCTGAGTATGATGGAATAGAAGTAGCAATTTCCTGTTCCACCCCCTGCATGATGATGAGAGGCTGGCCTTAAATGTGGATGCTGCATTTGGCTCTTGTGGTCAACAGTTGTTGATGCAGCCATTTTTATTTTATTTGTTTGCTCGTTACATTTATATCCCACCTTTTTCCCGAGGAGCCCAAAGGAATATACATGCCCGTCTTGCTTTTCTTTTTATCCTCACAGCAACCCTGTGAGGTAGGTTAGTCTTAGTGCCCATAACTGGCCCAGAGTCACCCCGTGAGCTTCATGGATGAATGAGAACAAGAGCCTGGATCACCTGAGCCCCAGTCCAGCCACAGCCACTGCCACAAACTGCTGACATCTTAAGCCAACCAATCACTGTTTCTTGTGACAGCAAATTCCAAGTTGAAAGCCATATTGCATGTAAACATTACTAGTATCACAAGAGCCAACAAGCTGCTGACCAGTTCCTCCTCATTGTTTTCCTATTCTGAAACTAAATTAGAATGCACTTGTAGCTGACCAGCCACAGGGGAAACCCTCTGCGTGTGGGTGCGTTAGCTTTAATCATTTGGCATCTAACAACATTTATTCAAAATTCTTAACTGCTCTGTTCCAAAGACTTATTAGTTCATTCAAAGGAAACAATCTCAGTCTAGTAAGCTATGTTTTCTTAGACCAGAATAAGCACTGTTCTGCTTCCTTTTGTGCTGTGTACTGAAAATCATCTAGGGTTTATTAAAACTAATTTCTTATTACATCTAAACTGGGAAACTGTGGTTTAACCTTGGCATATACACCAGGATCCAATAGAAGAACATAATGCCACTGATACCCATTCGCCATCATTTCATGGAAATTTTATGGGCTCTAAGAAAAGGGGGCACTGACTGGGATGGAGCACACATCTGAAGATTTGCGTGTTCTGTTCTAAGTGTTTCTAAATTTAGTTGGGGTTTGATGATGAAACACTGCTTGCACTTTCCTTTTCCTCTCGTCCATGTTCCAATGAAATGAGCTAGAATGTGACATCGAAATGACATCTAAATCTATGGCTTCTGCTTGCCAGCTAACCTAGACTTGAAAACTCCAGTATGAGACTGGTTGAAGCCTGGCTTGGAGGGCAAGCATAGACCATAGTTGTTAGTTGTCACATGATAAATCATGGTTTGTGTTAAAGAGGAAATATTACATTGAAGTAGAGCGAGGGGAGAAAGGTATACGGGAGAATTATTCTCATAATGTTAACGTGTAGTGACATCATCCTGCAGTGAGGGAGGGCCCTTTTCCTGTATCCAAATACAGAGAAGTGCTCCCATAGATCTTAGAAAAGCAAAACAGAGACAGAAGAAAGAAAGGAGAAATGAGTTTCTGTCCTGGTGCAGCTGAATTAATTGGAGCACCATTTGCATCTATACTGGCTTTTTAATATTGAAGAAATGTGAGTATGTCCAAAGGGAGGGAAAACAAGAACTAGATCTTCTGATATTGGCTAAAAGGCTTTTAGGACTTGTTTAGAACTGGGCATCTGAAATTTCCCAGAGATTAGAAACACTTCTGGCACTAAATACGGCCCTAGGAACTGAAGGCAAACAACCCTTAAAGTTGATTTGTTTATGCCAACCACCTTAAGATCACCACCTCTGGCGAAATCAGTAACGTCATTTTTGGTTGGAATAGCATTTCTCCCAGCATGCCAGGCTTTATCCGCTTTCTGCTTTCTTGTGGATCTTTGAAGGGAGGGAAGGTAGTGTTCAACCCAGAGCTGTTTTATCTTCACTGGACTCCTGGATCTATTAAGTGACATGTTGTTTAACTTAGAGAAATGTTTCTTTCACTTACAGAAAGTGGGGGTGACAGGAGCCTCTGATTCACAAGTACGCTGTCCATCAGTCATCGAGTTTGGGAAATATGAAATCCACACCTGGTATTCCTCTCCATACCCACAAGAGTATTCCAGGTACAATGCTCACAACCACTTCATGATGTACCTTATGTGGGTAGAACTGAGGGTTTAGCACACAGAGGACATGCTATGTAATTAGAAGGCAGAAGGACTCACATTTTAAGTGCATGCCCTCCCTTAAATTAGGACTGCTTGTCCTTTGTGTAAAACTAATATGTGGCCACAATAAAACTATACAGAGTAAGTAAATAATATATACTTGCTTACTTTACCGAAGTCCACTTCTTACATTGAAGTTTTCAAAGAATGCTGAATATTTTTAGCAAGGACTATAAAATGGGAGAATAGTGAGAGCAAAAAGCACAGAAATTTGAGTGTGTTGACTGGCTTGCAAAAAATAATAGCAAGTTTTGGCACTGGATTTTGAATCTGAAGGAGGCCATTCCTACTCAGGCCCTTCTGCTGCTGTTTTTCTTTTTTAAGTGTTCAAAAGACATTGTCCACATACACGGTACTGCTATGAGAATTTAAAAATAAAGCACAAAAGCATTCAAGTTTCAGTCCCTCAAATTTTTCTGGTTTCCTCTTGTTCACCTGATTATAGCCATAGTTCTCTCTATATCCATTGAAAGTCACTTAGTGATAGTTAGCACATTTAGAAGTGCTAAGAATAACATTGATGTGCCTCCTTTCATTGAGGTTAGTATGTTGAAATGCTGGCTTTATTAAATATCTTTAGACATGCATAACTGTTTTATCTGCTGGATTTAGTAAAGCAGGAAATAAGCAGAAGGATACAACTGTCTCATATGTATGTGTATTGAAATGGGAATACCAATTTCTACATCTGCACTTATTTAAGAGAAGGAAGAACGAGCAGGAAATGAAGTCCAACCTTGCAACTGCGTTTCCAGTGATGGGCAGCCTTAGCTGGAATTGATCCCAAGAGATTTCTGGCTTGGGCAGCCTGCCCTGGTAATAGAATCTGATGCCCTCTGACACCTCTTTCCTTTCTGTATTGCCTCATACACACCCTGTGTTAATATAAAGGATCTTTCATAATTTGACAGAGGAGAGAGAACTGCTGTGATTTCCTCATTTACTTGCAGGGCTGTGTCTTTGAGGGAGTATAAACACATTTTATCTTGCAGGTTGCCTAAGCTCTACATTTGTGAATTCTGTCTCAAGTACATGAAAAGCAGAACTATTCTCCAGCAGCATATGAAGAAATGTGGTTGGTTTCATCCCCCAGCCAACGAGATTTACAGAAAGAACAATGTTTCAGTATTTGAGGTAAGTTTTCATCATTTTCCGAAGCGTCTGTCCCGACGGAGTGAAGGATCTGAGACTTAGTCCACTGTGAGCGTGCCTAAACAAACTCTGATGCGTGAAAAAAAGCTGCATCAGCCTTGCCATTACAATAGGCCCTGCCAGTGCTGTGTGTGGAACATTGTTCAGGTGTGACATAGGGCTGGGCGGGGAGATAGAAGCACTTTGGGCAGGGCAGCAGTTTGGCACGGAGAAGTGGTGGGCGGGGAGCAGGTTAAACACATGCACATCTTCTCTGTTCTAAATTCCCCTCTTCCGAAGTGAGTTTCTGAAGTGGATAGCTAAAAGTTAAACTCTGACACATGCAGTTGCTTGTAATGTTTTAGTGAGCCTCTTGGCCCTTCCAGTGAAAGTGGTTGGTTCTTGGCTGTGAGTACGTACCTATAAAATACAGAAAGAGTTCTCAATCACCCTTCAGGATGGAAGGCCCTCACAGGGTGGTGCAGAATGTTAGGCGTTGAGCATCAGCTGCCTTGGGATTCACCATTCGTAAGGTGTTAAGGATGAGAGCGACCACTTTGCAGAATGATTCCTTTTCTCTGTTCATGTGCATGGACTCACTGTACACTAGTTGGAATCTGTTTGTTGTTTTGGAGAATTGAACCAGCTGTAATTCCACTTGGCTTGGCCGGTGTGCTGCTCGAGATTGCCTGCCGACAGTCCATTCAGGATCATGACTTTAACCTGTTCTCCATTTTCCTAAGGTGGATGGCAACGTCAGTACCATTTACTGCCAGAACTTGTGCCTATTGGCAAAACTCTTCCTGGATCATAAGACACTCTACTACGATGTGGAGCCATTTCTGTTCTATGTGCTGACACAAAATGATGTGAAGGGCTGCCACCTTGTTGGTTACTTCTCAAAGGTAAGAACCTTCCTTGCATGCAGAGGTGGAGCTGGGAAAGGATCCCGTCTTGATGCCCTGGAGACGCCCTGCCAGTCAGTGACGACAATACTGGGCGAGGCAGAGCAGCAGTCCGACTCTGGGTCAGTCCACACTATCATGGCAGCCCACTGTGGGCCTGCACCTTGGCCTAAGGCAACATAATGCATTGTGGGTGGAGGATCTTATGCATTCCGTGAGCAAATCCAGCAGACAGCTGTGCTTCCTGAAGTGCAGGTGAAGCATCCCCACCCACTCTCTAGTGAAATGCCTAGCCTAACCACACATTATTGCAAATTGCAGGCTGAAGGTGTCCTTGGAAGCACACAGGGACAGTATTGTCATTATGCATTTTCATTTTACCACACAAAGGATGGGATAAACCCAGAACAACACAGAATATACAGTGCCTTGCATGAGTATTCTCAGACACAAACACCCCTTTGACTTTTCCACATTTTGTTGTGTTATAACCTGAAATAGAATTGGATATAATTGGCATTGTTATTGCCTGACGTGTGCAAGATACTTGGCACTATGAAGGTCAAAAATATGTTTTTTTGTGGTAAAACAGAAACGTACTGGCACTTGTTGGTTGCATAAGTATTCTCCCCACCCTTTGTAGTCTGTGGAACAACCTGTAACTGCCAGAAGTCACATCCTAAATAGTTGAATGGAGTCTATTTGTGCGCTCTTCTGGTGCCACATGAACTAAGAGTAAATGCTTCTGATTCTTGGAAGCCCCTGAAAGTGTTGGAGAACATATTTAAGCAAGCAGCATTGTGGACCAAAACATTATCAAAACACTCCAGGATAAAGTTGTGTGGTAGCACCAATCTGTGTAGGGTTATAGTGACGGGGTAAGGAGCGTGTTAGCTAGGGAAGAAAGAGATCAATAGTCATTTTTGAAGGAGCAAGAAAGATACCCAGTTAAGACACAAGAAACCATCCACAGGACAACTGTCACTCAGCTGGCTGGGCTTTATGAAAGAGTGGCGAAAAGACAGTGCGGGAGCAAACTGATACTGGAAGCTGCAGAAGGCATGTAGGAGACACGGTAAACTTATCCAGTCCACTGCATTTTTCTGGCCTTGCTTGCAAAATGTGAACTGTGGCACAAAGCCAACGGTGCTCTTTCCCTGAGAACATCCCCAGTGAAGCATGGTGCTGGCAGCATCGTTTTGTAGGGAAGCTCTTGCTCAGCAGGGACCTGGTCAGAATCGAGGGCAACATGAATGGAGTCAAATGCAGGGCAGTTCTAGAGGAAGGCTTCTAGAGGGGCCTGGGACTAGGGCCAGCAGGTCAGATGCCCTTCCACAAACAGCCGCAGTAACATTGGAGAGGTATGAAAACAAGAACCTGACTGTCTTAGAACGGCCCAGTCAAAGCCCAGACCTCAGTCCAGTTAAGAATCTGTGGCCGCCGATGGGGGCACAGCAGTTTCGCCAGGAAAAATGGGCAAATTTCACGGCATCCATATGTGCAAAAGTGATAGAACATAAGAGCTTAAGAAAAACCATGCTGGGCCAGATGAAAGGTCCATCTAGACCAGCTGCCCACAGGATCCCTCAGGCAGGAAGGGTGCAAGCCCTGCTCCTGTCTCAGCTTCTCAGCAACTGGTGTCTGTGGGCATGCCTCTTCTGGTAAGGGCACCTGCCCAGCAAGGCTAGTAGCCACTGCTAGCCTCCTCTTCCATGAACAGAGACTTACCCAAGAAGACCAGCAGCTGTAATCGCTGCCAGCAACCCAGAAGGCCATGCACTTATGCAACCAACAAATGTCAGGTTGTTTTTGCTTACCTACCTTTTGTGCCATGGCAAAAATTCTTTGCCCCTTCCTGGTGCTGCTCTTGCACCCATCAGGCAGCAACGATACCAATGAATCCCATGTTAACTTCAGATTGTACTATGATAACATGTGCCCAAGTAAAGCGTGAGCGTGAATACTTCCGCAAGGCCCTGTGGAAGGAGATCCTCGATAGCTAGCATACAGGAGCAAAATGAACGACTGAGCACCTGCACCTTTTCCTTGGTGCCATGTCTTCTCCACGTCTGCCTGGCTGGAAGAAGGCGCTGGTTGCCCAACTGTTCTGCCAAAGCCTTTGAACTGGTTTCCCTGCTTCTCTCCCACACAAGCTGTGGTGCCAGCAGTTGTTCAGCCAGCTCTGGGCCACGGTGTGGTGTGACGAAGTGTTCTGCTGCAGGCAAGGCACCTGTTGGCAAGGCACGTGGTGCAGTGGGGGTGGCCCACGGAATGGTGCCATTGCAGAGGAGGGGCTGGTGCTTGGAAGGCTGCTGCCAACATTCAAAGCTGCCTGCCTCTCAGCGGTGGCAGCTGATTCCTCGGGACCTGCTCGCAAAGGAAGTCTGAAGTGTCCCATACTGATTCGCCTGGAGAGCAGATACCGCTGGTGGTTGTCTTTGACCAGGTGGAAGGCATGGAGGGTAGTCGTGATTTCCTTAAACATTTTCTTCAGGCCGTGAAGTTCTCCCTTGTACTCTGGGGGGGAGTGCAAGCCTCACATGCAGAAATGGGCGAGAATTACTGTGCCCGGTGCTTTGCACATATTCCTGCACCTTGGACTTATGCAGGAAACTGGGACTGCGCCAAGGGCCTTCACTTTCCAGAATTGCACCAGAGCTCTCCTGACACCGTTGGGCTCCCTCCACCTCCCTTGGGGCCCCGGCTGCCACTTGCGGCAGGGACCTGGCGTGAGTGAGAAGAATGGGGTGAGGGCTCAGGGTTCACCTCTGTGGGGTCTATTGTGGGGTGTGGCAACATCAGCAAAGGTGGCGCAATTACTCCCGTTACGTGTCCTGCAGTAAATGCTGCAGAAAGTTCTGAATGTATCTGCCCCCAGCCTGGGGCATGGATGATGGGCCTTGGGTTCCCCACACAGACAAGGCTGCTGGAGGGGTCAGCTTTGTTCAAACTTTGTTTACTAAGAGGACTAGGCAAGCAGTGCTGGGAAGACTGCCCAGAAGCGGGGCGTTCCTCTTGGTGGCGATCCATGGCACAAATTAAAGGAAATTTTCCACACTAAATTATTCTGATAGATTGATTGCATAAGGTGAAACACAGCCTATGCTGTAGAGGCTTCTTTTCCAGGAGACTTTCTGAAACCTTGGTGTATGGGCATGGAGGCGGGGCACCGTGGAGGCAAAGCCAAGCTTGGCAGACTTACTGCGGACTCCTTCAGGGCCACCTGTCGTTCACGCAGCTGGCTCACAAGGGGTAGAAAGAAAGTGGGGAAAAGATTCCTGGCAAGTGAAGCACCAACATCTCATCGGAGGGGGGAGGAGAATGCCAAGGGAAGACCAAGGCCACAGCACCACACTCTGTTGCTAGGCAGAATTTGGGAATTGAGACTGCTCATGAGCAGTGGCACGTTCTTTGGCTTTTCTCGCTGAGTGACTAGAGTTCTTTCTGGCAATTCAGGAGGAAATTGCCCTGCTGGCACCCGGCAGCACAACAAGCCACCCTGGGAATGCGATACTGTGCAACAAGCTATGGGTTCTTGGAGGGGCTTGCCTGCCATTCATTCCCGCCAGCAGCTTCCTTTTATGACCTTTTCCGTTCACTGAGAGAAGTGAAGCTGGGGCTGTGCTAATTCTGTGCTTTAAGAAATAGAATAACATTTTGCACAGTGGTCACCCAAATCCTGTGCAGAAAAGAAGCTGAATTGTAGGAGGCGCATACATCGTGCCAGCTGACTGCATTTGTGGGCATGTCTATGTTTTGCATAATTTGGTGTTTGATGTTTCATTCAGCTTCTTATTATGAGGATCGTTGCGGAGAGTTCTACACAAAATACCGCTCAAGCACTGGCATTTGCTAGCCTCACATTTTTAGTGCATATTAACCATACACCTTTTCAGGCATATCTGCTTTGAGTCACAAAAGTTAGAAACATATATGTGGAAAAAAGCAGGTGACACTGCTGAATTCTGCCCCCAGAACAAATGCCACATGCTTTTGTGATACACACATGACTTAGCTGTAGCCAACAACCCAGCATGTTGCTTTTTTCCTGTCAATTATTAAGGCTATTTCTCTGGAAATTTATGTTAAAACTGGTATGACTTTCATCCAAGTGAATGATTTTTATAGAGTTGTAAATTGAACAGCATGAACAGAAAATAAGCTAGATTAAGTACTTTGTAATACTCCTCACCAATTGTACTGGGTTTAACCAAAGGGTCCAATTTTCTGTATACTTCTAAAACTCTGTGCAGGCAGAATTCAGGGAACTGAAGCAGTTAATAAGGCCAGCTTTCTCTTTATCCTGTTGAACAGTGTGTATCCTCCGAGGAGCTTGAATTCCAGCTTGGCTGCTCTGAGGGGAGAAGGTTTTAAATGACTTCCTCGTCCCTTGGGTCGTGAAGAGTAGAGCTAGTTGGTGAAGTAAACACTAATTGCTACCTCCACTGTGCTTGCTTCTCAAATCAGACGCTGATCTCATTTCAAAGCTTTTGTTTGCACTTCAGGAAAGAGGCTATTGAGGCTGAATGCCGCTTTAGTCCTCCTCATGCAGGGGCCAGGCATAAGGGGTGAAAGGCCCGTCTTGCATTTTTCCCTCCCCCGCCCCCATGGAAGCACTTATGCTTTGAGAGCAAACTTTCAGAATTAGGCAGCCTTAGTCTGCAGCTTGCCCTCCTGTCCCCACAAGTGCATGTGTGGATTGGATGTTGATCAGGAAGCAAAGAAAATTGCCAATTCCCTGAACACCTTTTGGGGTGGGATGAGCATAGGGGGAGTATTGTGCTTTAAGTGCAAGGCCCAGGGGGTGACCCACGAAGAAGGTCCCAGGTTCATTCCTCTGCCTCTGTTTAAAAGAACCAAGGTAGCAGGACTGCGAAGACCTAGGAGAGTCTTTGCTCTGTCGAACAGACGTCATAATAGGCTTGATGTACCAGTGCTTGAACTGGGCATAAGGCAGTTTCATATGTTCAGGGGTGTTTTTCTCTCTCCCTGTTCCTGGCAGAACTTGCAGTAGTAGCAGTCCCTTGTTAACTGTCTAATACTCTTCCACTGGAGACTTGTTTTCAGAGCGATGCTCATGACTTTCTTCAGTAGGGCTGTAACTGTGTCTCTTGCTGGAAGGCTCCCCCCACATAAATTACTCGTCCAGAAGAATTTCTCTTCCTTCTCGCTAATCCCTTGCTTTTACAGACAGTTTTTCTCCCTTTCTTTTACTAGGAGAAGCACTGCCAGCAGAAGTACAACGTTTCCTGCATAATGATTCTTCCCCAGTACCAGCGCAAGGGCTACGGCAGGTTCCTCATTGATTTCAGTAAGCATCTCCTTATTTTTCTGCATTTTCTTCAGCTTCACACAAAAATTTATAAAACCAAACAATTCTCCAGTGGTGGATTTGGTAGTACTAGATATCGCAAGCATTACTTATCTCAATTGACAACCTTTTGGGACTCCAGGAGACATCCTTTTTCTTACTGTTTTCTGCAGAGGTATTCTTGTAGCTTATGTGGATGCCCTGACAGCCTCTTTTTCCTTATCACACTTGGACTTCAAAGAATGTTCAGCATCCTTCCATCTCAAGCTGTATAAAGAATTGCATTCCCCTCATTATTTATAATTTAAAGTAATTTGTAAAGGAAGGCTTCCCCTTATTCTAACTTTGCAATAGCTATTACTTTGAGGAGCAAAGCGAATGATGTCCCTCTGTCCTTCTCGGGATGCCCTCCCCAGTCTGCCAAGAGAAGGACATTGAGCCCTACCAAGGAAAGGCTACTCTCATTTTAGTATTAGGAAATTAACCAAAGACATTGAAAGTGTTATTGGAAGAGAGCAGGACGGGGATTCGGGCGATGCAGGTTCTAGTCCTTGCTCAGCCGTGGAGCCAGCTGGGTGACTTTGGGCCAGTCCCAGACTCTCAGCCCAACCTGCCTCACAGAGTGGTTGTTGTGGGGATAAGAGTGAGAGCAGCAGGAGGAGGAGAATTATGTGAGCTGCTTTGATTTCTTTGGAAGAAAAAAGGCAGGGTAGAAATGTAATAAATAAGTAGATACAGTGTTAGTAGGGAAGTAGTTCAGTGAACACGCAAGCAACTGGATGCACAACTTCCAGTCTCAGCCAGTTGAGACTGCATCTCAGTATCCCTAGACTGTTTTAATAAGACAAAATTTGCTTTATCAAAGGAATAGTAAAAGGAGTCGTCAGAGTAGCCAGCTCGGTTGCTTACAAAGCAGAATAAGTTCCTGCATTCTTTCCTCCGGGGTGTTTTGCTGGAATCCTAGAGAAGCTTGCAATGCTGCTGTACCTCCCCAGCAAGGCTTGGAAAACAAGCCATTCAGTGTAGCTGGTGTATGTTGCACAGCTACATTATTATCCCTCCCTTTACTGCAGCCTTCTGCATCTGGGAGCCCACCAGATGTTGTGGAGTACAACTCCCAGTATTCCAGGCCATTGGCTCTGCCAGCTGAGACTGATAGTGCCATCCTTGAGACTCTTTAAAGCAGTATACTCTGCCCTTTATGCATTGTTACTGTAGCAGGCAGGGTGCAGAGTTGTGCGTATGAATCCTTTCTAGAGTAGGGTTCCCTTCATGGTGCCCTGCTGCCTACAGGAAGCTTCACTGGCACTTTGGAAGCTCTCCACTCCCTACCCCCACTCCCTACCCCCAATTTTAAATTGTATTTTCAGTTTAAAATAATGAAAAATGTTGGGCACCTTGTCCTTTTTCCTGTTCCTGACCCTGCAAGCAGGCAGGAAAAAAGAGGAAAGCCGTCTTGCCCTTGCATTTGCTTTCTTGCATTCTCTCAGATCCCAACCTATAGTCTTGCTGTTTCTCATCAGCCAGTCCCTTTCCTCCCTGCTCCTCTCTTTTCATCTTTGCTGGACTTTTTTCTCTTCCTCCCAGCCCTTGCCTCGCTGCTTCTTTCTCTTCCACCTCTTTATCTCACTGTTTCTCCCGCCTTGTAGGCTTTCTATCCCCTCTACTCCGTCACCTTGCTATTTCCCCCTCTCTCCCAGGTTCTGTCCTCTCAATTTCTCCTCCCTTCTTTCTTTTCTCCCCTGGGAGGCATTATGTGGCCAGCCACATCCTCCTCGGCAGCCATCGCTGCAGTGGCTAAACTTCTCAAATCTGGTGTTGCAGAGGGTTGAAGGGCAATCCCTAGTATAGTACTGTACATCAGTCAAACCTTGAAGCAATGAAGGGATAAGCAACTACCAGTGGATATGCAGGTGAGGAGAAGAAAAGCACAGCTGCTTTCTGCCCGTTGCCGCAGCTTATTTTCCACAATCACCAGTAGTCTCTAGGCTGTAAATGTCAGTGTGACTCATAGCAGTGATGAGCAGTGCCATTCCTCCCAGGTTGTGCCGCATCTCAGTCATCTCCCCCTTCTGTTTTTTTCAAAATTAAACTCCACTACTCTTAGCTTATTTGATCAATTATCCTAAGATAACTCAAAGCCAAGTTACCCTCATAATCCATAGACGTTCCTCCTGCCAAGCCTTCCACTTCTATACCAGTCTCAGTAATCTGACAATTATGCAAACTGCAGGCTATCATCTGAGACCATGTACAGTGAAGTCTGAAGCAGACTGGACCATTTTCTGATCAGTTAGCGGTCAGTTAATTTGAGATCAGTTACTTTAAGGATGTCCAAAGAACAGGATTTCTCTTGAAGCCCCGTACTTTGAATTACTTGTTCCTGATAATGAGCAAGCAAGCATTGGTAGCACTTGAACAGTGTATAACAGGGAGCTCCCTCCTCACAATGCAGGGCTGCCTAATTGGGCTTGATGGTCAGTGGTGGCCCTAAGGAGCCTTCACCTCATTTATAGCTGGAAAGGTGAAGGGAACAGGTATTTCATCTGGATCTGGCTCTCCCCTGCCCCTCCAGAAAGCCCCTTTGCTTTGGGTGCCACCACCACCAAGCCCAACTGATACAAACACCTTTGTTGTTCCACCTGCCCATGGCTGCCAGGTAGTTTTCATGCCATACTGACAGCATGCAAACAGGTTGCGACCAGAACACGTAACGCTTACTGCCTCCTCCCATATCCGCCTGCTCAGTCTCTGAGGTCAACAGGAAAGACTCTCACTTTTCATGTATCAAAATCTATAATGCTTGCCCAGAATCACTTTATGGGGATGTTATTGCCTGTAAAGGTATAGATAAGGACTTATCCAGGGCTGAAGCCCAGTGTTCTGCAGATGGCTTATGTGACACTCTGTTAGATGTATGCCAAATTCAGTAGTTTTATTGGAAAGTGGCCCGTGTCTTTCGTGATGCGCTGTTGTGGCCGTCCATCTCTCAGGATCCAGATCGTTCTGGTCTATTAGACTTGGTTCCAAGGGAGGGTTGCAGGAGTATTTGGACAAAAACACTTCTCCAGAATGAGGCAGGAACTCTGGGATAGTGCCAGTCATCACAAAGGACTAGTGTTGGTATTTCCCACATTCCTTACACATAAACAACCACCTCCATCCAACCACTTTTAATCCAACTGATAATCTTAATCTATTAAACAAGGAAAAGCATGTTACAAATTAGGGCTATATGGTAAGTTCTAGACCTAGCAAACTTGAAAGAAGCACTATAATCCATACCCTAGTTGGATCAGCAAGACAAAGACAGATTCTTTCTCTTGTAGGATGTAGTAAAATTCTCTGAAGTTTATTTTTCAGAGCACTTTCATGTTAGAGCAAGAAAGATGATGTTAAAATATCCTGGACTTCTTGGTTTGTAAGGTGCTTGTTTGTTCCTTTTTGTTTTATAGTGTGTTTTCTATGCAGGCCCCACATTCCCAGTCATGTCAAATAATCCTTAAGGGCTGAACTCACTAATTTTTCTTCTTTGGTGTGCTGAGAGTTTACAATACGAAATTATAGTATCCCTTCTTCCGCAAATGAGATCTCTAAAGGAGGCGGTAGTCCGGCCAGTCCAAAAGAAGGCTTTCCTGGATCCAGAGATGGTCACCAATTATAGACTGGTGGCCAACATCCCGTTTCTGGGCAAGGTGTTAGAGCAGGTGGTGGCAGGACAACTCCAAGCACTCTTGGATGAAACTGATTATCTGGACCCATTTTAGTCCGGCTTCAGACCCGGGTATGGTACTGAATCTGCCTTGGTCGCCCTGTATGATGACCTGTGCAGGGAGAGAGATGGGGAGTGCGTCCCTGTTGGTCCTCCTGAACCTCTCAGCAGCTTTCGATACCATCAACCATGGTATCCTTCTGGATAGGCTAGTGGGATTGGGAGTTGGAGGCACCACGTGGTGGTGGTTCCGCTCCTATCTCAATGGCCCATTCCCGAAGGTGGTGCTGGGGGACTATGGCTCTGCGCCATGGCAGCTATGCCATGGAGTTCTGCAGGGTTCCATCTTGTCCCCCTTGCTATTTAACATCTACATGAAACTGCTGGGAGAGGTCATCAGGAGGTGTGGGCTGCGGAATCATCAGTATGCTGATGATACCCAGCTCTACCTCTCGTTCTCCACCAATCCAGGTGAGGCAGTGGCTGTACTGAACCGGTGCCTGGCCGAGGTAATGGGCTGGATGAGGGCTAATAAACTGAAGCTCATTCCAGACAAGACGGAGGTCCTGTTGGTGGGTGGCTCGGGTCTCAGGATGGGGGACTTGGGCCTTGTCCTGAATGGGGTTGCACTCCCTCTGAGGGACAGGGTTCACAGCTTGGGAGTGCTCCTCGACCCAGAGCTATCTTTGGAAGCTCAAGTGACTGTGGTGGCGAGGAGCACTTCCTTTCAGCTTCGACTGATCCATCAGCTGCGTCCCTACCTGGAGAACAATTGCCTGGCGACAGTGACACATGCATTGGTTACTTCCGGATTGGACTTCCGTAATGCGCTCTACGTGGGGCTGCCCTTGAAGATGGTCCAGATACTTCAGATGGTGCAAAATAGAGCTGCCAGGTTGCTGACGGGGACTGGGCGTTGTTCTCATATAACCCCAGTCCTCTACCAGCTTCAATGACTCCCCATTGAAGTCCAGGCCCAATTCAAGGTGCTGGTTATGACCTATAAAGCCCTTAACGGCTTGGGCCCAGGATACCTAAAGGAGCGCCTGCGTCCATATTTGCCATCCTGCCCCTTGAGATCGGTGGCAGAGGCCCTTCTCCAGGAACCCTCCGTGAAAGATATTAGGAGGGTGAGTACCCAGAGGAGGGCCTTCTCTGCGGTGGCGCCCCACTTATGGAATGCGCTCCCCAGAGAGGTCCGCCTGGCGCCATCGTTATTTGTTTTTCGGCGCCAGGCCAAGACCTTTTTATTTAAACAATATTTTAATAATCACTGATTTTATTTATTGGTTTTATAATTTTGTGCCAGGATGTTTCCAGATTTTATATATGTATGTTTTTATATATATGTATTTATTTATAATGTTGGAAGCCATCCCGAGGCTCATGCGAATGGGATGCCATACAAAAATTCCAAATAAATAAATAAATATGTTGCCACTTGTTATTTGGCTACCTAAAAAAGCAACCTGTCATGTACAGCTGAAGTGGTTCTTCAGATGTTTATTCCCTTATTAATGATGAAAGGGAAGTGACAAATCACCCTCATTTAGCCGCTACCTCATAGTGCCGTGCTAACGGCGGTTTAAAAGTGACTTGTGAATTTTAGTGGCAACAGTTCCAGCAGTCCTCCTCGTGTACCCACTCCATGCATTGTTGCTTCTTTAATAGCAAACCCAGTAAATGAATGCTGATGAAATCCACTGTGGAAAGGACCAGCAGGCTTTGGGGAACCTCCAAAGATTGCAGGAGCGCCCAGAAACGTCCAACGTGTGAATGGGAGGGAAGCCCTGCCTCCCCGGAAGGAGCTCACTGATGACGGGGAGAGACCTCACAACCTGCGGCGTTTGATGGTCGCCCCTGAACTGGCCATGAGCAGTAGCACTCCCCACGGCAAGGTTTTGTTGGAGGTCTCCCTAGAATAGGAGGAATCTGCCATCTAGTGGCATCCTCTTATAGACAGCAAACATGAGATGTGCTAAAACTTCCCAGGTGTAGCTTGCAGGGCTGTTCTCTGTCATTCGCCTGCACGTGCTTCCTCACGTGGTCGCTGGGGTTGGTCCTGAGAAATTTTGGATGCTTCTCCCGTGGAGTAGACTTGTGCATCTCTCTGGCTGGCTGTGCCAAAGCAGGCTGGTGCCCCGGAGGAGCAGCAGGTAGAGCGTGTTGGTCATGGCCGTTTTCCTTTGTAGAGCCATCACCGTAGTTCTCAAATTTCAGCGGCTCTCCCCACTTCCGCGGCTACCCGGTTTTGTTGGCAGCTGCATCATGAAGCCTAGTCCTCAGTGCTTTCTGCTTCCTCCTAGGTTATCTCCTCTCAAAGCGTGAAGGCCAAGCCGGGTCCCCAGAGAAGCCATTATCTGATCTGGGCCGCCTCTCCTACATGGCTTATTGGAAGAGTGTAATCTTGGAGTGCCTTTATCACCAGAATGACAAGCAGATCAGCATCAAGAAGCTAAGCAAACTGACGGGCATCTGCCCTCAAGATATCACTTCCACCCTGCACCACCTGCGCATGCTTGATTTCCGTAACGATCAGTGAGCATCACAGCCCGGTTGCTTCTCTGGCAGGCCTGGGAGGCCCAGAAAGGGCAGAACCGCGGTCGGGGGGGGGGGCTGTGTCCAAAACAGGTTCTGTAGGAGCAGGGCAAAGTGCAAGTGAAGTTTGCACCTGGAGTGCCTCAGGTTTTCAGCTTCCCTGTTTGTGGGCTTAATGATTCTGGAGCTGCGCCTGAAAGATTGTGGGCAGTGTCTTTGGAAGTCTCAGAGGCCAGATGCATGGCTGTATTTATTACAACACATGCGCTGCCTGTCCGGGTACAGATCCTTTCAAAGCAGCTCACAATGCATTAATCAAATCACAACATGTTAAAACTTAAGAAATTGGGACTTGTCCTGCAGGGAAGTTGATGGTAGATGGCCTGGGGTGGTAGTATAGATGGAACTGCCTCTGGACCCTTCTTTGCCTGTCTCCCCTTCCTAAAATTTCCTTTTTTAAAGATTTTCTTAACATGAACAACTACCCAAAAAATATAAAACAGAACAAACTAAAATGAGCAAAGCAAGCTAAAATAAACCAAGTTGCCAAGGGAATTCTATACAAATACAACCTTCTAAAATTTCCAGTGGCTGCTTTGTAGGCTTCAGTGCTTTGTACTGTTCCTTGCTTCCTCTCCTCATAGATAGCAGAAGTACTGTAAATTATGCAAAATATTTAAAAAATCAGAATTAGCAAGAAAATGAGGCATGATGCAGAATGCTCAGTTTTCATAATTTGGGCCAGTTTCTGTGGTTCTGGGCAAAAAAAGTGAATTGCTTAGATAACAGAATTGTAACATTCATAGGAGGGCCCACAGTCCTGAACACGAGTCTCACATCAGACTGGAAAATCGTGGAATAGAGTGGCCCATGCACCATTAAATAACTTTTGAGGGAGTGGGAAAGGCTGTCAGAGGAGAGGAAAGCATGCTTTGCCCATTTGCTTAGTGGTTTGACAAAAAGTTGGCAAATTATACGATCGGATGACTCCCTTGTGCAAACTAGTAAGCTTTACCATATGATCGCTGGAAATCTTAGTTAGTCCTCTGGCTTCCGAGACGTCAGCCATTGTAGCCTGCACCCTAGCAGTAATAGCTAGAATCCCGCTTTTACTTTTAATTCAAAAGCTGAGTTGATTGGGAAGCTGAATGCCTGCACTTGATACTCCATGTACTGCTCCTGTGGAACTGCAGTGTACACAGAGTCTTGTCTGTAGGCAAGTTTCTTTGCTTGCTTGCTTTTTAATAGTCATTTAATAAGTTGTGTTGGTTTCTCGGAATTGCTTTTGCATAATCTTAGAAAAAGGTTACAGCAAACTGGCAGCCTTGTCGCCCCTTTGCAGTTCGGCTCCTGCGGCCCTGGAAGGTGCTGCTGCTTAAGCGCTTGACATTGAGTTTTATTTTCATTACTAAAATACAGTAACTGCATTTCAAAAGCTGAGGTTCCGGAGTGGCTATGCTTTTAGCTTCCAGTCCTTTGCCCGCTTATGATGTTGCTAGTTCTGGCATGGGAAACCAGGACGGTTGGTGCTCTCTTTTGTTCTGTTTTTCCTGTAACAGATGCCTAGCCGCTGCTAATGGTCTTTGTTAACCAGTTGTAAGGATCGCACCTCAGTATTTGGGTGAACCTTTCCTTTCTAGAGCAGATGGTGTTCAAATGGCCTCTTTAATCATATGTCAAGTGCAGCTCTGCCACAGCCCATTTAAGGGAAGCCACTTCACACCGGGTGGCCTGGGATCCTGTTGCACTGGGGCAAGAGTGTGGTCCTTTTGAAAGGGTAAGTAGCAGAGCCCTGCTTTGGGTCCCCGGACAGGGAAAAGCTCCTTGGCTGGCGTGAGTATGGGAACTGCCCCCTGCCTGGCCCCGGAGGCACAAGTTGCTCAAGGGGAGTCCTGTGGCATCTCTGTCGCCGCCACCTTGGGCTCTCCATCTGTTCTAGTTTCACTTCCGTGCGATTCTGGACTGCTCCAAGAAGAGGCTAGCGGGAAAAGAAGGTTCATGCTTCTGTGCCAAGCAGGGCCCAGAGCACACGCTTAGAGCCACTTGGACAGCCTGCTGCTGGCTTCCATTGTGGAGAACTCGTTGTGCCCTGCCAGTTCTGTCATCCCCGCCTGTTCGCTTCTCCATGCAAGCGATTGTGGCAGCTGCGCAGTCATTTATCTGTTCCTCAGTTGCTCCTTCTTGTCATGCCTGTTTCTTTCCCGGTGCTGGCCTGTGTGTTCCCTGCACTCCCTGTCCATTGACTGAAGGGTTTTGGTCTTTTTGCCTCCTCAGATTTGTGATTGTTCGGCGGGAGAAGCTGATCCAGGACCACATGACAAAACTGAAACTGAATCTCCGGCTTATAGTCGTGGATCCGGAATGCCTGCGCTGGACGCCCGTCATTGTCTCAAACTCTGTGGTCTCGGAGGACGAAGAAGAAGAACCTGAAGAAGGGGATGATGAAGAGCAGGTGCCACAGCAGCCGCCGCCAGAGAGAGAAGTAGAGGTGAGTGTGCAGCCCCTCCGTGCCGTATTTCTGCACGTACAAAGGGTGGAGAAAAGGCAGGCCCATTCCGCCCATCCTTGGAGCCACGTCCTTGGAAAAGCGGGACGTAATGCAAATCAAGGCATCCTTCCATTGACCGGGACTGTTGGCCTGTGCCTGTGCCTGGCCCATGCTCCCAGGCGCTTTCCTTCTTTTCCGCAGCCTGGGGTGCTGTAACTGGGCACTTTGCACCTTGGCCTCTACCCTGAAAATGGGATTCATCCAGGATGAAAACTAGGGGCCCATGAGATTGCGGAGTCTGATAATTAGCAGGGCACTTTGCAAGTTGCCCCAGACTCCTTTCTGTGGACCGAAACACCCAGTTGGGGTTCCTTAGGGAGATGCTGTGTGGATTTCCAGTAGAGCGTTATTAACAGCAGCTTCCACTTCAAAAATGCTGTGAAATTAGTTCCAATGAGGAGGAATTGTAACAGGATCTAGGACCTAGGGAAGAAGTCAGCAGCTCAGGGGAAGCTGGGAGGAAGCCTTGGAGACACTTCTTAGAAGAGGGAAAGGACTTGAGGAATGTGGAAAAGCTTGGCTGGAGAGGCTGCGACAGGACGTTGGGAGAACTAGTGGGGAGCGAGGAAAGCTGGCTGTGAATGGGAGCTTTCTGTGAGGGAGGCCAGAATGCCCAGTGACCGCTGAAATCTTTTGGGGCAAGCTTTTGGTTTAAACGATAATCCTTAGAACTTTGATGTCTATAAGAGTGAATACTTAAATAAATTGGGATTTTTCTTCACACTAGGTAATAAAATCTGTATCCTGGGAGAGAAAAGAGAGAGAGTCTTGCTTTCCTCTGGAGAGTGAAAAAAAGCCGGAGGTTGTCACTCCGGCCAACTCTGTCTGGCCGAACAAGCAGAGCCTTCCCCTGGCCGGTCTTTCTGCAAACAGCCAGACACCACGGAGGGGCCGATGGGGTCGGAAGAACAAAAAGCTGCGGGAGTCCTTCACTGAGAAGGAGTCAAAACTGCTCTTAGAAGAGAAATCAGCCCTGGCCAGAGGGGGGCGGTGTGGGGAGTGCCAGGAAAAGGCGGCGGCAGCGGCGGCGGCGGCGGCAGCAGCAGCAGCTGCCTCTCGGGGAAGATTTGCAGAGAGTGAAGAGAAGGCCACCTCTTCCCAGGGACAGTGTGGCAAGTGCGAGGAAAAGTCCCCAGCCCCCCGGGGGCACTTCAGTAAAGATGAGGAGAAGTCAGCCGTCTCCCAAGGGCAATATGGCAAGGGGGAAAAGTCCTCGGCAACCCAGAGGCGGTACAGTGAAGGCATGGAAGTGTGGAGGGGGCAGCTGAAGAGCCCCGAACCTCTGAAAAGCAGGCTGCCTCGGAGGCACAGCGAGAATGACCGGCCGCTGCTGAGGCACTTCAGCGAGAGCAGCGAAGAGGACGAGGAGGGGCCCGTCAGCCCCTGCTCCAATTCCCCACCAGTCCTCACCAAACCCACCCTGAAGCGAAAGGTGCCTTCTGATTTATTTATTTATGTATGTGTTTATGGTGTATCCCTCACTCACTCACTCACTCACTCACTCACTCACTCACTCACTCGATGTTCAGCCTGCCCCATTAGTCACAAGGCTCCCGCAGGGCTCTCTAGGAGGCTCTGTTAGACCTTCTTCCCTCTGTGTTCTGCCTGGCAGCTCCATGCTGCAGTTAAATATGCCCCTTAGAATCCCTGAAGGCCTCGCCTTGGAAATCCTCTCTGCTCGCCAAGCAGGCCTGCCACTTCTGCACGCGGCCTTCGCTGCCACGCGGGTTCTCCCTGGCTTTGCTCATCGAGGGGCGAGGAGGCCAAGGGCTCTGCAGGGCACTGGCGCTCCCTGTACCTCACAGTCACGGGGGCACTTAGCAGCCATTTTTTTGGCTTCACAGTGCCAGGCATGTCTTTAAAGTCGTGAGGAGGGAAAATAAACGTCTTAAAAATGAGAGCAGACATTTTCAAGAGCTCAGCTCCTATGCCCACATTTTAGGGTTAATTTAAAGTTCTGCTGTGGAAGCAAGCACAGGCACTTCTGTTTGTATTTTATGGTGTTTCTCTTAAACTGATTATCTTTACATGTTTGATATAAGGGCAGCAAGTTGCAAGCTGATTAATGCATGATTTGCCGTGTTGCTGACTGTGTGCATTCTATAGCCATTTAGACTTCAGCCAGTGACCATGGGTTGCTGTGTAACCAAAGAACCAGGGCACAGTGGGCTAAGCAAACCAGCGTGAACCTACAATTAATTAACCCACAGTTTGCCCAGAAATGGGCTCTTTATGTAAAGGAAATACAATGGGTTGGATTCAGGCTAAGTTGTCCTAACTAGTTTACTCAGGATGCCACCAAATGCATATAAATCTTCCTTTGAGGCAGAATTTAGTGGGTGGGACTCTGTGCTTCTCTCTCTGCATCCCATAGTTAGTTCAATATTTTGGCTTGTCTTTATGGTTGGAATAAAGTGTATTGCATTGAGCCTTGGACTTTTGATCAAAAAAATCAGCCTGCTGGAAGTGTGGTTGTTGATTTCAGGCTACTAGAATCAATAGGGTTAATTGCTAGAAATGAAGCTACCGGGGGCGGGGGGTTACTATTTTTTCAAGAGCAAGACAGGTGAATTTACCATAGTTTGCATAACCCCTCAGCAATTGATGAGGCATTTTAAAAAACTGGGAGGGAAGGGAAAGACCATTCTGCGGTACAGTTGGCTGAATTGTTGCAGCAGCCAAATCAAGGTTCTTGCACATGCATAGGCACTTCTCCCTGGGGTGCCTTTTGCCTATTTGCACGGAGCTGGCATGACCTCTTTGGGGTTGCTGCATACATAGCAAGTGTCGCCCTGGGAAGAAGGCAGCAAAGCCGCTGAGGGCCTGCACCCAGCTACTTCCTGTTTGGCCTTCTGGGGCTCTGTGAAATCGCCCATTGGCTTGCCTTGTGTAAGTTTTTAGAATAGAAGCTAGTGGCTCCCACTCCCCTCTGGAAAGCGATTGTCTTGTGGGTGCAAGATAGCAGATTTCATACTCCTTCTGGGCATTGGAAGTTCACAGTTTTGGGAGATGGTGCTCAAGGTGCATTTCCCCATGTTTACCACTGTTTCTCTCTTTTTGACTGTCTTCTGTAGAAGCCCATTCCCCGGAAGAAGCGGGTCCGTAAGCGTAAATACCACAACAGCAGTGTTGTGACTGAGACCATCTCTGAAACAACGGAGGTCCTGGTGGACGAGCCGTTCGAAGACTCTGATTCGGAGAGGCCCATGCCTCAGCTGGAGCCCACCTTCGAGATGGAGGATGAGGAGGATGAGGAGGAAAGCGAGCTGTTCTCCAGAGGATACCTTCGCCGCCTCTCTCCCCAGGGCTCCCTTCGTCACAGGCCCTCCTCAAAGAGAGGGTCTCATGGTGGAGAAGACTCAGACGATGCCGCTGGTATGCATCCCCAGCAGTGCTGGGTGTGGGGCTTGTCTGTCGCATGGAAGGCAGGCGCTGGCTTTCTCTCCTGAGGTCTCGCTGAAATGTGCCAGACTGCCCGGGCATGACTGAATATGCGCCAGCAGGCTTGCTTAGCCGTTTGCTCCACCCTGCGGAAGGGCCAGAGCTGTGGCAGCTGGAGAAGGAAGGAGTGAGGAGAGCAAAGATATGTGGGGGCACGGATGCAGAGGGAGGGCATTCTGCTGGCATCCTGGCAAGGAAGAGCTTAGACTAGGGATACCTGTCTTGGGACTGAGCTGAAAGCCCCGCCCTTCACCCCCTGCTGGGCCAGAGGTGCAGCGAAAAGGGGCTTCATTGCCCTCGAGCAGAGGGTCACTTTGCGATTCACCTCCTGCTGAAGTGACTAAGCCAAGGACCCTCCTGTGTGCTTGTGGGAGAGGATAAAAGAAGCCCGACGCAGTGTATCTGCGCATTAACAGTGCACAGCCCACCCGTTGTCCTGCGTTCAGCTGGTGGCAACATTCTGGAGGCTGCCAAATGAGCTTCTATCCCATAATGTCTGTTAGTCTCAGTTTAGCTCCTCTGCTTACAGCCACTGGCAACACATGCCTTTCGAGACTGAGTATCCCCGTCTGCAAGCACAGAAGGACAGAATAAGCCCAAAGGCGTAACATCACAGAGCCTCAGACCAGCTTATTTTTTATGCTGGCGCTGCAAGTAAAGCTGTTTTCCCTTTCACATATTTATCACCATCCCTTAACCATGCTAAAAGACAAGTTCTTATCAGAATCATTGGTGACAGTAGTCTTTTTCAGCATTTCAGCCAAAACCCTTTTTCTGAGAGGTGCCTAGGGTTGTCCTCCTGACCAAAGAACATGAAGAGTAGCTTTGCAGGAATTGTATCTTCTAGACAACCTGAACACCTGCCTGGAACTGGAGGGCTGCAAAAGCCGCCCTGAGCCAATAGCGTATTAAGCTTGCGCTAAGCTTCCTGCTCACAATCAAAACCAGTAGCACAGGCGGGGGGGGGGGGGGGGGGGGGGGGGGGCGGGGGGATGCGTCTGCCCGGTTGTGCCTGCCTTTCCTTAGCCCATCCGTTGCCAAAGCCAGTTACACAGCCCCATTCAGCAGGGCCAGTGGTCAGGAATGATGGAAGCTGTAGTCTAAAACGCTTACAGGCCACCAGGCTGGGGAAGGCTGCAATAGACCATTCCCTTTGAATTACACTAGTTCAGTTCGACAATGCACAAATACTTTCTCTGCCAGGAATAGCCAAGCACGGTGTTTTTATGAGACTGAAACATTTTAACCCTCCAGTTGCTTTGTTATCCAATTTTTAATTGGGCCGACTGCATTTAGGGTAGAATCCTGTGCTTGCTGGCCAGTATTTTAGTCTTTCCCAGCAATAGCTGGATAGTAACAGCTGCCTACCTGATAGAGCATGGCTGGGTTAATATGATTAATATTAATAAATTAATTTGAAAAGTGTCCCTTTAGCTCTTGAACTGTGTCACATCAGTGCAGCCAGCCTTCTTGGCATGTGCACCCCACAGGGAAGCTGTGCTTCTGCCTCTAGCAGTAGGATAGCTGCAGAAGGCCTGGCCAGCAGCCTTCCTGCTTCTGTCCAAGAGCACCACAGCATTGCAAAGTGCCAAGTCTGAAAGGTGGGACAGTCTCTACAGATGCAGAGGTGCAGTTGGTGAGTGTAAGTTCTGGGGTAACCAAAGGTTACAGGGTGTCAGTTTTCCAGTAATAACAATGACCACAAGGATCAATCGGCATTCTGCAGTTTTAACAGATCGGCTAGCCAGTGCCATTTGGTGGCAGTGAATATTAAGTGTACTCTTCTTAGCTCTTGCTGGGGTTTCAGCTACCTTGGTGTAATAGGGAATGAGTGATAGTTAAAATATTTCCTTTGACTAATGACTAAACAGTAAGCTAGCTTGCATTTGCTTCAGCATCTTAGAGAAGCAACGCTGTTGGGTTTTTGGTAATTACAAGTAATCAATATTGGAAGACAGATGATCAGACAGTTGATCAGCTATAAACCCTAGTAAGTAAAAGAGATGACTAGTCCAGCAGTCTAATCTGTGTTATTCTGCCCTACCCCAATCTGTTTGCATCTTCTTCAGGCTCTCCAACCTTGAAACCAGTCTCTGTGCTGAGAAAAAGTGAAGCAAAAGATTCTCCACTCCAGCCAGACACTTCCACCCCCATGAAAAAGAAGAAGGGCTGGCCCAAGGGCAAAAGCCGCAAGCCCATCCACTGGAAGAAGAGGCCCGGCCGCAAGCCAGGCTTCAAACTGAAGAGGGGGAAGGTGCTAGCACCTGCTCCGGAAGAGGCCTCGGACCCTGCGGAAGTCTCACCGAAGCCTGGGCGCAAGTCAAAAGCGCAGGAGAAGGAAGAGCAAGTTGAGCAGAAGGAAGACCTCCTGCCTGTGGCAGAGGAAAGGAAAGAGGACGATGGGCCGGCCGATGTTGGGGATCTGGGAGAAGAAGAGGAAGATGCGCCTGCCTCCGATGCGAGGGCAGCTTCGCCCGTAGAGAGCAGCAGCAGCCCAGCAGTGGAAGTCAAGGAATCTGAAATGGAGGAAGAAGTGGAGAAGCCACAGGCCCTGGAAGAGCAGAGGCAGTCTGAGGAGGAGCAGCAGGAGATGGAGGAACCTGAGCATGACCAGGAGGAGGAGGAGGAGGAAGTGGCAGCAGTAGCTAACCAGAATGAAGACCATGATGCGGACGATGAAGAAGATGATGGCCACGTCGAGCCCACCAAGAAGAATGAGCTAGAAGAGCAGGCAGTGAAAGAGGGGCTCAAGGAAGAACCGGATGTACAGGAGCCTTTTTTAGAAACAAGCACACAGGATGGCCGAGAAGAAGACGTCAAGAACAAGAGTGAGGGGGAGGCAGATTCGGAGGAAGAGCAGGCTTCTCACGAGACGTCCGTGGGGTCAGACCCTGTCCCTGGTTCCGAAGATGACCCAGAGGAAGAGCAGCATGCTAAGGAGGAGCTGATGGAGCTGAAGGAAGAGGAGCCGATCCCTCACAGCGAGCTGGATCTCGAGACTGTCCAGGCGGTCCAGTCCTTGACCCAAGAGGAGGAGAACAACGAGCACGACGTGTCCTACCAGGACTGTGAGGAGACGCTGGCGGCCTGCCAGAACCTGCAGAGCTACACCCAAGCGGAGGAGGATCCCCAGATGTCGATGGTCGAGGACTGCCAGGCCTCCGAGCACAACAGCCCCATCTCCTCCGTCCAGTCGCACCCCAGCCAGTCCGTGCGCTCCGTCAGCAGCCCCAGCGTGCCCAGCACTCTGGAGAGCGGCTACACTCAGATCAGCCCCGAGCAGGGCTCCCTCTCCGCACCTTCTATGCAGAACATGGAGACCAGCCCCATGATGGATGTGCCTTCCGTCTCGGACCATTCCCAGCAGGTGGTGGACAGCGGCTTCAGCGACCTCGGCAGCATCGAGAGCACCACGGAGAACTACGAGAACCCGAGCAGCTACGACTCCACCATGGGGGGCAGCATCTGCGGCAACAACTCCTCGCAGAGCAGCTGCTCCTACGGCGGGCTGTCCTCCTCCAGCAGCCTCACCCAGAGCAGCTGCGTCGTCACGCAGCAGATCGCCAGCATGGGCAACAGCTGCAGCCTGCTGCCCCAGGGCAGCGTCCCGCCGGCCACCAGCTGCAGCATCAAGTCCCCTCAGAGCTGTGTGGTGGAGAGGCCCCCCAGCAACCAGCAGCCGGCCCCGCAGCCCCCGCAGCCCCCGGCCCAGGCCCAGCAGCCGCAGCCCCCACCGCCCTCGCAGCAGCAGGCCCCGCTCTCGCAGTGCAGCATGAACAACAGCTTCACGCCAGCGCCGATGATCATGGAGATCCCCGAGTCCGGCGGCGCCGGCAACATCAGCATCTACGAGCGGATCCCCGGGGATTTCGGGGCCGGGGGCTACTCCCAGCCGTCGGCCACCTTCAGCCTGGCCAAGCTGCAGCAGCTGACCAACACCATCATGGACCCGCACGCCATGCCTTACAGCCACTCCCCTGCCGTGACGTCCTATGCAACCAGCGTGTCCTTGTCCAACACTGGCCTGGCGCAGCTGGCCCCGTCGCACCCCCTGGCCGGGGCGCCCCAAGCACAGGCCACCATGACGCCCCCGCCCAACCTGTCCTCCACCGCCATGAACCTCACCGCGCCCCTGCTCCAGTGCAACATGTCCACCCCCAACATCGGCATCCCCCACACCCAGCGGCTGCAGGGGCAGATGCCGGTCAAGGGGCACATCTCCATCCGCTCCAAGTCGGCACCCCTGCCCGCCGCGGCGGCCCACCAGCAGCAGCTGTACGGCCGCAACCCCCCGGCGGTCGCCATGCCGGCGGGCCCCCGCGCCCTCGCCGTCCAGCGGGGCATGAACATGGGGGTGAACCTGATGCCGACGGCCCCGTACAACGTCAACTCCGTGAATGTGAACACGCTGAACGCCATGAACAGCTACCGGATGACCCAGCCCATGATGAACAGCGGCTACCACAGCAACCCGGCCTACATGAACCAGACGGCTCAGTATCCTATGCAGATGCAAATGGGAATGATGGGGAGCCAGGCCTATCCCCAGCAGCCTATGCAGCCAAACCCTCACGGGAACATGATGTACACTGGCCCCTCGCATCACAGCTACATGAACGCTGCCGGGGTGCCCAAGCAGTCCCTCAACGGGCCCTACATGAGGAGATGAGCAAGAGGAACTGGCAATCTTAAAACACAGAGACACAAAACTAACTGAAATCTCTCTATAAATAAAGGAACCTTTTATACTGACAAACCAGAGACAATGGACCTTTTTCCAGTTAAATATTGCTGTAGATCTTAGATGGGGTTTTGTTCCTTTCGGTTTATTTTATTTTACTTTTAGGGGGCCTGGTCTTTATTCTTTTCACGTTTTGTGGGGGTCTCTTCCTTTGGATCTTTGTTTTTCTTCACAATCCTGAAACACTTCACAGTTCGAATCCATTTTTAAAATGGGGTCTGGGTGTTTTGGTTTGTTTGTTTTGTTTTGTTTTGTTTTTCAGGGAGGGGGTTGAACATGTGCACCAAAACCTTTCCAGTATATAACAAAGAGCCTTACTTTGCTTACCACCCAGGCAGAGTGCGTGGAAAACGGTCTCCTCCTCCTCCTCTCATTTCCAGACATCATATTTCCCCCCCCCCCCCGCCCTGTGCACAGCTCCCAAGGTGGCCCAACTGCTAATGGTCATTTCCTTCCTGCCCTCCCCACCGTCTGTTTTGTACTTCAGGCCTAAAAGAAGTTTCTGGTGTGGTGGTGAAGGGTCCATTCCCCGCTGTCATTGCCCCAGCCGTGGGAACGCTGTACAGGTTATCCTCCCCCTAGGATGAACCGAAGCACGGTTTAAGCGTAACTTTTGAAGAGTGTGCCCGTCGCAGTGCCCCAGAAAGACACCGGCCGAGCAGTCGCATTTCAAGGAGGAGCTGCGTGCAGCCTTACAGTGGGGTGGGGGTTCAGAGAAGCACAGTCCTCGGCGCGTGGCAGACCAGCCCTTGGAGTGGGGCCGCGCCTCTCCGGAGGCACGCTGCCCCTTAGCACATCGTGGGGCGCTGGCACGGGCCCTCTCCGCCTCGCCCAGCGGTTGCCGGCCCGCAGGGAGAACGCGCCAGGGCCCCCCCCCCTTGCCTGCCTCTGCGCCAGCATCCCACACGGTCCAGCTGCCGGGGGGTTTTCTCATCCGTGCTGCAGGGAGACGGCCAACGCCTGCGCTGGGCCACCCACCCAGTCCCGCGGCCCGGCCCGCCTGCACCTGACTGCAAGGAGGGGAAAACGTAGCTTGCCCTTCTAATGTAAAGTTCTATGTATATTCGTGTAGAGCTACAGACGCACTTAGATTGACTTAGATGTGTAAAGAATTTTTTTTTCAAAGAAACCTGAAAGGCAGTTGTGGAGGGGGGAGGGGGGCTCCACTGCACTAAAATGGACTTCCTCTGTACTGTTGAGTATAAAACGGCAGAATCCCCGGGGCTTCCGGCCCCGTTCTCTCTTTGTTCTTGAGCATGCGTACAAAGCTGTGCAGAACCCACGGTCCCTGTATATATCTGTAAATCCAGGCTCACCTCCTCTGCGTCAAAAGGTGGCCCTTAAAACCTTCTGCTCCCCAAAGCATCTGCCCTGGGATTGCTCCCCGGTTGCAGGTGGACAGGGGGTGCAGGATCTTGTTGGGGTGTTGAAAACGAAGCTGCGGGCATGAGGGCCGTGAAACCTTTTCTTTTCCTTTTTTTTTTTGTCTGCTGTTACCTTTCTCAGTTTTGGGTTTTTTTTTTTTTTTGTATGGTTTTTTAAAATCAATTGGGCAGCTCCCTTTTTTCCACAAATCTTTGTGACTGTAGAACTATTGTAGAGAACCAATGTTCTTTTCTATATTATTAAAAAAAAATATCCGACACAGTAATATTGGTACCTGTCATTTTTTTTCCACTTCTGTTTAAGAAAAAAATAATAATGTATTTTTAGCAAAATAAACTTGGGTAATCTTCTAAAAGAAATTTAAAAAAAACTCACTGTTAGTGACTTTGATGCCTTTTAAAAAAAAAGAGCTTTTTCATTTCATTCCATCTTTAAAATTTTTTATCTTTGTTGTAGAATATTAAAGACTATTTTAAGAAAGATGAAAATTCTCTTTAAAGAGATCTCTAGAGTGTGTGACTAGAGCTCCAGATGCCTCTAAAGCCGCATGTACAAAATGAAGCCGCGTCTATTCCTGTCTGTTTATATTTGCTTTTCCTGTTTTGTAACTTCTTTGTACTTTGTTCTTGGTGACTTGTAAGCTTAAAAAGGGGAAGGGGTGCCTGGATGATTAACCCTTTGTAATTCTTCATGTCATGCGCTCCTGGGCCGGCCGGCCTCCCTTCCTCTCCTTGTATGTAATATCACTTTTTCCCTCCCCCCTTTCTAGCAAGTACTTTCAAAAGAACTCTGTACATTTTAACATAAAAAATAAATTATGTTGAGCCATTTTGGATGTCTGGTTTTGCACATGGAATCTTTCTTCCTCTGAAATGTTAGGAGAGTTGAACTTGGTGTCCCAAACCTGTGGCAGTTTTCTTTTTGGCTTTTTTTTTGGGGGGGGGGGTGGTAGGAAGTGGGGAGGCCCAGCAGCACATACACTTTGACCTGCATCGATCCCATGATTGAAAACACCTACGAACTTTTGTATGACTTCTGCTAAAAAAAAGTGTCACACCCATTCAGAGGCACAGGAAGAAAGAGTTCCCTGGAAGGGCAGCCTTGGCAAGGCTGGATGGACAGCTCTGCCCATTCCTGCTCCTCTTCCACATATCCCTGGTCACCAGTGAAACGCAGCAGCACTTCTTAGCTAGGCTGCTGCTTCGCTCGTCCCGTGAAATGTCCCCCAGCAGCGCAGCCAGCGAGACCAGAGCTAAGATCTAGAGGGCGCCTCACCAGGGGGTTCCGCGCTGTGCCCTGAACCCACGGTTTTACCCAAAGGGCCCCCCAGCCCCGCCTCATCCACCCGACTGCAGCAAAGGCCTCGGCAGACTCTTCTGCTTGGGTCGCTGCACGGGGCCCTGGCAAGCAGTGAGCATCTGGGGAGATCCTCGGAGCAAGAGCGGGGAGAGGAGCCCTTCGTGTGCATGTCCCGGCTGGGCAAGCAGATGCGCTAAATAATTAGGGACGTCCTAGCCTTGGGGGGCAGAGCGGAGCCTGATTATCCTAGGGCAGACAACTACGCCCTCGTGTTGGGAGATGGCTATGAAAGCTTGGAATGTGGTAGTTGGAAGCCATCTTGCAGGAAGAACTAGCCACGCTCCCCCAGATGTGAGTGGCTGCCCACTTTTGCCTCTCCACCTTGTCTCCAGCTGGCCAAAAGGCAAAACACGCGTGGAGGGAGTGGTGCACCGGACTTCTTTGTAGATCTAGGTGGGTCGGCATTTGCCGATTGCAGAAGAAGGGATTCCTTTAGCAGTGGTAATTCATTTTCACCACAGGCGCCTTTCCAGGCTGTTGGTGTGTTCTCTGCTGCAAGTGTTGCCCAAAGTTGCAGAGGCTGCAGGCAAGCGGCTGCGAAGGAGCCGCATTCAACACCGGATCCTGGCAGGGAAACTACCCCTTGAGCGGTCCCTGCATCTTACTGCCCTGCCCTCTCGGCGACTGCGGACCAAAGGAGGTTTCCCTGAAACTTCCTCTAGGGGGCCTGCTCCAGGGATGCTTATTTGGTGCAAAAGGTGTACCCAGAAGATGGCATTTGGGCTGGCTTGGTTAAATCAATAAACCATGCGTTAAAAGTACAATTAACAACATGAGAATGAACGCAGCCTCCAAGCTGACCCACCTGCTTACGTGCCAAAGGCCAGCTTGAATGACAGCAGTTTTGCTGCTGGTTGAAGGACGGTTTCCCATAGCGGGGAGTCCCACGACCTGGGAGTAGCCTCCGAGAAGGTCTTCCCAGGAAGTCCTTCATGAGCACCTGCAGCCCTGCTAGCCCTGGAGGAATTTGGAAGATGGACAGTGCTTCCGGGGGGCCCAGTGAAGACCCTTCTTGCATTCTACTTTTGTTTCAATGTTAGGAAGCTGCCTTCTGTTCCCTTGGCTTGTCAGAATCCAAACCCTGGCAGTCTCTGCACCGTGACAGGCCTGTCCAAGAGCACCTCCTTCTCCAAGAGTCGCTGAGCAACGCATCCACACAATTCTATTCCACGTTACTCTGCCTGGGTGAGTAAACTGGACAGCGAAGGAGGCTGCCTGGAAGAAACTGGGTGGATTCGAAACATGCTGCAGGAGAACCTTGTGACTGTCTCGCAGTGACAGAACAAATCAGGGGTCCTAGATCAATTCATGCCAGAGATTGCCCCGGAAGCCAAAATGCCAACTTGAAACTTCAAGGATATGATGTGAAAGGAAAGAAGCTCACTGGAGAAGACAATCGTGCCAGGGCAAGTCGGAAAACAGAGACGAGGAAGACCAACTCTGAGATGGATCGAGGCCATAGAAGAAGCCACAGCCTCGAGTCTGCAAGGGCTGAGACGCCGCCAAGCGTGGGGCAGTTTGGAGGGCGTCCATTCCTGAGGTCGTTGGTCGGAGAAGACTTGCCGGCAGGTAACAAACTAGAATTCACTTGCGGGTTTACCTGCCCTTGCTTGCATCCAGCTGTGGCTGCACGGGGTCGGGGTTGAGTCCCAGTCTGGTTCAGCTGGGTGCTCAGGTGCTCATCTCAGTTTGGAGGCCACGGTTATCCTCGGAAAGGGACAAATGGAAAGAGACATCACCCTGCAGTAGGCAGAGGAGACGGGAGGAAGCTGTTTGTATAGCCGGGCTCCTAAACAGCAACGCTTTAAGCAAGAGCTGCTAATGGTGTTCGACGCAATTTCTTAGCAGAACTGGATGAAATGCACAGGAATAGCTGTCCCTTCTGAGGGTATTAAGCCCACCAAGTTTCAGATAGAAGAATTGCACGGAGCTTTGTGCAAGGAGCATCTTTACCATTCGGACCCCTCCAAAGAAGGAAGCCCTTTTCCATAGAACATGGATGTGGGGTGGAATACTGGTTATGTAAGCAAAATAAAGCATAGAGATGCTGTAGTTTTCTTGGAAGGGGGGTATTTTATTTCAATTGTATTTTGTTGGGGAAAGCAATTCTCTCCCCCTTAAGTCATGTTTTGAGGGCAATTTGTGTGAGCATAGAGGTACCCCAGGCAAGAAACATGCAACATTTTAGATGGATGAGTTCAGGTGCAAGAAGTTAGGATGACTAGACAGTCTAAGGCATCTGTTCATTGTATTCTTGGCACCGAAGTCACAATGATGTGTGTGCAGCCTGGCAGAGGTAGAAAAACTTGGCCATGCAGTATTTTCCAAGCGAACGCCATGCTGCATCTCCTCAGGTCCCAGACACTGAGCCCTGGTAAAACCGTTGACTGGGATCTGAAGCTTGAACTGCTACTTGCAAAAGTGCGCCCACGCCCCTCTCTTTCTCTCTTCTCCATCCTGACATTTCCTTCAGGAGAGAGTTTGGATAAAATGTGCCCATTTTTGGAGGCATCCTGCGCATCTCTGCATCCCACGCCTTCAGAAGTGTTCTGCTTCATATCTGGCCACTTTGGAGGAGCCCCCCTGCAGTGCAGACGCCTGCAAATCCGTCCGAATCGGACTGATGCAATGGAGATTCAGCTGGCTCCCACGCCACCCTCGGCACCCGCAAGGTCCGCCTGCTGCCATGGCTTCCCACTCTCCAAGGCATTCTGGGAAAGAAAGGTGGCAGAATGAAACTTCCACAAAGCTGCTGTGTTTAATGAATGCGTTTTTTAAAAGCAGAGGGGGGAAGTGGGAGTTATCCTGGCACACTGAGATTTCCAAGAGCTGCGTTGCCACTGGTGCCGGAATCTCTACACCCTAGAAGTAGGCTAACCCCTTAAGTTATGCACAGTAGCTTTAGTAATGGAAGCTTGAACTTGGAGCTTCTTCCACACTTTCTTTGTAATGTCATCACTACCCAGATGCTGAAGATGAAACTCAAATGCTTCGGCCGCCTAATGAGAAGGAAGGACTCACTGGAGAAGAGCCTAATGCTGGAACAATTGAAGGCAAAAGAAGGAGGGGATGGCAGAGGATGAGGTGGCTGGATGGAGCCCCAGCAGCAGTGGGTTTGAGCTTGAGTGAACTCCGGCGATGGTGGAGGACAGGAAGGTCTGGAGGAGTGTTGTCCATGGGGCCGCAATGGGTCGGACGTGACTTCATGACTAGCAACAAGCAACAGCTCCTGTTTTGGCCTTTGTTTCCTACCCTGAGGTCTGGTGGAGGACTGGAGGCAAAGCTCCCGTCTTACCATCCAGAGAGTGCCAGGTGAGGGAATGCAGGCAAGCAAAATTTCTGACTTTATCTGGAGGGCCTGCTAGGGCTGATCCTGGTTCTCACAGCACCCTTTCACCAGTGTTGCCTGACCAGGCCGGGGCATGATTACAGGCCTCATTCTGTCCAGACCATTCCCCTTTCCCAGCAAAGTCATGCTTCTTGCGAAGCAGACGTGCCCCTCACTGGGGCAGCCGAAGCAGGACCCGTTTGTTCCTGCAGTGACCGGAGGTGGTGTGATTTCAGTGAGCTTGAACTGTGAAACTGCACCTGCTCGGAGTAAAAAATGGGACTAGTACTTAGGGTCTTGTTTTTTGCTCTCAGGAGCGCAGAATGCCAAGTGCAGAATGGGGCTGGCACTGAGTGGGCCGTGTCAGTGTTGCGCCTTGCAAGGGCGGTTACAGGCATGGCCATCGAAGCCCCTCCCCTGGCCGTACAGGGAGCTCAGGGCCTCTGGCCGCAGAAATCCTTTCCAACCAACTGCGGGCTACCCAGGAATCGACCAGTAGATCCAGAGCCCCCTCTTGCTCCCCTGTAGCAGTGCTTAGGCTTGGCAACCAGGAGCCGTGGGCAAGGGAGAGAGCTGCACAACTACGGGGCGACGCTAGGTGGCGGCAATGCTCCAGAGAGGCCCGAGGCTTCTGCAGTGTTTCCTGGCTGCTGCTCTTAGCGCTGCTGCGGTTGCGGAGCGCATCTCAAAGGGCTGATCCGGACTATTCCAAGCCCCAAAAGCCTCGCCCCTCTTTGGTCCCACGTGGGACCATCCACCAGCCCAGCTTGTCCAAAGGGTCTCTGGATAGAGCTTGCACAGGATGAGGTCTTTTATGCCCAGCTCTTGAAGGTCACATTTGGCTTCTTTCTTGTTTTGGCAGATGGCAAGTAACCCGTCGAGTTTTAGATTTCAGTGGGCTTCCTTCACGCCCCTCTTCTACTCTTTCTGAGAGTCATCATTTTGCCATGTTGCTCTTCTGTGATTGTATTTTCTTTCAGTTTCCATCTTAGGTGTGTTCTCGCTTTCATCATTTTAATTATTTGAATACTTTGAGGCCTTTGGGGCTGAAAAGGGAGAAAACAGCGGGATTTCCTCTTGGGGGATCCCTCCAGGGGTGTCATTTGGAGGCCAAGCCTTGCCCACCAACACAACCCTCAAAACATCTT